AGGTTCAAGGCTCATGAACCACATGCATATGAATTGATCCATATTGATAGGCAAAAGATCATAAATATGTATATATATATATACATACAACGATATGGATATATATCCCATGTATGTTCCATAATGTAAATGTACCTGCTGTATTGGTCAATGTTTGAGGTGCATGTTGACAAAAATATTCTATATACAATATCAGCCACTAGAATCCAGTTGATGCCTTTTTGTATATATATATACACACTATATGGCCCCTTGGCTATTAGACTATTGGAAATACTTCACATGACCAGGCGCTACAAATTGCGCCAACATTGAAAGCTGAAACTCAGTGCCTCAAGCTTCGGGCCAAGTTCGTCCTCTGTAGATTTGCTTGGGCAATCAGCCTCCAATCAGCTGGCCAGTCAGTACTGTGAACTTCTCTGTTTGGACCCAGTGCCACTATTTTTTTCGGGCCTCCAGCTCTTGTGCAGATTTGGTCGATGTAGCATCCTCCTACATGAAGGGAAACCATTATGCCTATTCTTTTACTTTCTTGTGCAAACACACTGTCAAATCAGGCTCCGGAAAGAGCGAGTTCCAATCATAGTCAGCAGGATACTGTGAATCTTCCCGATCCTGTTGCAATTGGAGGAATAAAGGGGTTATAAAGAAAGTATGATGCACATATCTATATATATATATATATGTGTGTGTGTGTATGTATTTTTATATTTGCATAGCATCAGCTGTGGTATGTCTTCTCAAGGACCAACTGGCCACAAGGCGAATGAACGACATGCAGGTCGTGGTGAAAAGGGACAGCTGTCCTCCATCTCTTGCCGGGTGAGGAATCTGACGGGCTCATCTGCCAGGGCTTCAAGGTCCTGCATGCATATTGTATGTTTAGCTAGGGGCAAGTTTCTATTAAATGAGCATCATTCAGGTCCTGATCGCTTGAAGAGACACTGCCCCCAGTATTGTTGGTGGAGTAGAGTGCTTCTACATTCGCATCGCCTGGGGTTGGGGACAGAATCTCAGAATGAATTTGATATATATATGTTGTCGCAATGCTCCATGTATGGAATATTTACCATTTTGGGGGTAACTATTGGTAAATATTTCATACATCGCGTAAATGGGGAAATTTGTATCACCAACTTACCCAACCTCCAGTCACTTCGGCCACCAGCAGCTTCAACGTTTTGATATTCTCGCTCCTGTGAGATTTGCAAGATAAATTGTTAAACAATTTGTTTCCTCGATCACCTTATATTATAGTTATAAGATGCATGTCAGCTTAATAAAATACCCTATAACTCCATGTCAGTAAATAATCCAAATGTGGGCACCAGAAACTAGAGAATTGTTTTCGTAAATGCAACCCAAAGCAGACCCTGTAGTGACAACTTGACTGGGCTGCACAACGAAACACGCAGATCAAACCATGAATTGGTGTTGAAAGCTACAGTCCTGCTGGATTCAGATCGCGTTGCCAACGTCATAGCATGCACACACATGCTGCGCATTTGCCCGGCCCAGAATCCACTCCAGTCCTGCAGCCGGTCTGTAGAATAACATTTATATAGACTTATTGTATGAGCAAACCGAACCCCACCTTAATGACCTTGACACGTGTGCCCTCTGCAAAGATCGCATGGGTCTTCGCGATGTTGATCATCGTGGCCTAAACACGCACCCCCATTCAGCATCACGCGCGCTAGGACCAGCCAGCACAACACACGCGCACAAATGCAGAAACACAATCAGCCAACACCAGGCCTTGAACACTCCATGAGCAGGAATACCGTCAGCAGCAAATTGGGCAAGAATAGGCATCAAAAACCAATGGAAACGATCAACGGCTTCGGCTGACGCAGGGCCCTCTTTGGGCATTCCATGAAGAAAGGGATGTTTTGAACCAGCATTCCTAACCCGGTGAAGAAAGTTCTCATCATCCCGCAGCATCCCCGCAATGATTGCCTTCAACAGAAAGAACTCATATTTCTTCCTCTCGGTTTTATCACCAACAGCACCAGCAGCCATAGCTAGTGAAAAAAGCGCGCACGCTTGCTACGGGCCAAAATGCTCTTAAGTATATATGGGTTTGATGATGTATATACATATGTGATGTTGGCATGGATTCGCAAAAACCAGAGCACAGCACCAAATAGGCTAGCAAGGGGGGGCATTGGCACCTTGAAAATCATCACGCAGTGTTGACTTGACCTCCCCAGCACTCCATGCGCCTAGGCCAACTGGTTGTCACTTAAACATTATTCTTCAAAATGTTGCACCGCCACCAAAAAAACAAGATTCTGACTGAGCATCGAACCGAAATCTGAAGATCTCTTCATTAAAGGATTGAAATTTGGTAACAGCTGCGGGTGACACACCACAAACTATCAATTTCCATCCCGATTCCATCCCGATTCCGATAAAAAAGACGAATGTAGGCTTCAGGGATCGACATTGCAATGTTAGCTTCTGGTGCCCACATATGGATGTTAGATATATTTGCTGACATGGAGCTATAGGGTATACATATATCTAAACTTTGCTTGACTATAGAAATATAAATAATACAGTAGTGCATAGAATTATGTGAAAAATCATCCGTTGCCACATGTGTGAACCGCAGGGTCTACAGAACTCCTCCTGGTGCCTGCACTCAGCTAGGATCATCGTACCCGTCCTGGCCACCATCGACAACCCCCAAAAGATCGAAAAGTGAATCTTCGAATCTAAACAAAAATCTAATGGGGAATTAACTGTTCTATCTCTTTCGGGATGACTTCTTATATAATCCTGAACTATTCTGTATATATGGTATACATGCAGTTATACATAATAGGAGACAAACTAAGAATAAGAATAATACAGACCTTGCTAGGTGTTCATGGAAGATTTTCCTGAGCTGTTCCCTTCGACAAGGCCCCTTAAAATTCAGGCCGCCAGGCCCCAAACAGCAACATGTCCAGCAATTCAGGTGAGGGTTTATTAACCACCAACAACGTCTAACAACCTAATAAAACGTTATAATTATATATATATGCATGTAATATAATATAAGGGTTCTTATACACCACAATGTATAGTAGGTTTATAGTACAAGTTCTTCTTAAACATCTACTATATATTGTGGTGTCGCCTTTGCAGGGGCTGAACACACATGATTGTTACGTAGGTATAATTTATATCATATCTGTCTCTGGTGTGGTTTATATCTATATATATTCTGGTCTCAACCAGTGTAATAAGGACAATCATTTCAAAAGAAAAACGCCCTATGATGGATATACACGGTGGGCCTACTCGTACTTTCCCACTGCACATCTGGGCAAGTTGCTTGAAACAACATGTAACATCATTTGCACATAGATGCTACTTGTGGAAGCAACACATATATACAACGTATATATATATGTGTGTGTGTGTTTTAAAATTATACATATCCCATCGAAACCCACGACAAAATCGGCATGTTAGATCATCAGGCAAATAACACCGAACCTGGGAGGTTCAAGATCATTTTGACATGTGTCCATTCGATATCACGATCAAGCCATACCCTCTAGCAGACTCTAGCAAACAATACGGGGCAATGGAAAATCGCCTAAACATAAAGGGTCTTAATTAAAAGAATAATCTACCAATTGGTGGATTTTCAATAGCCACGATTGACTACCGCATGGTCTAATATCTAATATTTACCAATGTCCGGAATGTAGGATTTGAACCACAAGTCCCTCATGAGCCGGTTACCTGGGTGGTACTTCGTTTCGATTCAAATCATTGGAAAGACATGAAAAAACTATCGGGGGATTCTCATCTCAGATCTGGCAGAAATTAAAGATGATTAACTGGTTGGTGGTATACCTACCCCTCTGAAAAATATGAAAGTCAGTTGGGATTATTATTCCCAATATATGGGGGAAAAATGGAAACCTTCTGCCGTTTTAGGTTTCAGAACATCATCTTGATCATCTCTCTGCCAGACACGACCATCAAATATTGAGGGTGTTCCGCCCGGATTGATGCCTTTGTAAATTCTGATAATATATATATATATTATAAATGCCGGATTTCATTCGCTATCCTACATTTGAAGGAGGAAAATTCACAAACAACTTGGCGACAGAAGTCATCGAACGGAAGAGGAACTTGTGAGTTAGCATCGTGAATTTTCATGGAACACCAAGCAGGAACTTCGCCATGGAAATCGAAGAACTACCTCTACGAAATCCCGATTAACTCGAATGATAGATGCTTAACTCACCCCTTTTGTTGGTTGAATCAGCCTATTTCAACTCGTTTTTTCTGTCTCCCAAGCAGGTTTCACCAGGTTTTTCAAAATGGCGGGTGCTTTTGGTGCTTCACCCGGGGACTCGTACAAGGAGGGCCCTGGTTATGTTTATTGATTTGTAACTTAACTAGTGTCTAGTTGTCATTCCCCGATAGACCACAGAATTCATATACTTCTCCCCCACCTTGCAAATTAGTTGTGAGTTGCCCTTTGGTAAAACTAACATAGCTATGGAACATGTCCCTTTTTATGGATGATCTGTGATTGTCGAATTGTCCGCTATGTTAGACGGGCCACGGGTAAAACACAATTCCTGCTTTGTAACTGGGTGTTCAGAAACTACAAACACCAACTATCACAACATTAACCCTCATGAACGTAATTAAATACAAACTCATGTGTCATGGGATAGTTGGTGAAACTGGATGTTACATTAAATATATATATACACATTAATGGGATATTGGTTGGTGGTTACCGGTTTCAACCCCTCTGAAGAATATGAGTTCGTCAATTGGGATGATTAATTATTCCCAACTGAATGGAAAGCCATAATCCAGCAATGTTCCAGTCACCACCAACAAGATATCTCACTAACCATTATTAACCACTATTAACCACTATTAGCCACTATTAACCACTATTAAACCACCAGCCAGCAAACAAACAGTAATTACATCCCATGACCTTCCACCAGCTTCGTTTCTTACCATGGCCACTATCCCATGGCCATGGCCCACATTCTGCCGCAGTCCTCGGGCTCCAGGGCCATGATGATGTTGTCGAAGTAGCTCCAGGCTTCACAGCGCATCCTGACGTTGGTCAGGTCGGTCGGGTGTGTCACCGCCCCTTGGAGAGAAACCATGTGAAAACCATGTGAAAACCCAAGGAACATGTTCTACACATGATCATCAAATGAAGTCAAATAGGTGTTCTATGGTTTTCGATTCTTGAATTACCAGACTCGCTTCAAAGTCAATGTAAAGTGGTGATTCTAGCGAACCCTAACCCAATCCTCCAACATGTGGGGGTTGAGTTGTGCCCTGGGAACACTATATTATACATGTAACCCAGATGGACCATATTTTTGGAGAGCTCACGATCCCCAAGGCCAATGGATCTCCATCACCATTCAAGGTGGCATGTCTAGAAGGGCCGTGGGGCCGGGTTTATAAGTTGTAAATACCAAATTACAATCCTTTGACTAACTATAAGTCACTAACAAATCTGGTTGGTGGTTGAGCCCTACCCCTCTGAAAAATGTTATTTCGTCAGTTGGGATGATGACTTTCCAAATATATGGAAAATAAAATTCATGTTCCAAACCACAGAAGAGAGAAACCATGGCTCAAGTTTAAGTATGCCCAGTTTCATCTGAGGTGCCCCATCCAAGTACCACTTCGACCCCAGCCTGGAACGATGCGGCAAGCTGGCAACCAGCAGGGCCAGCACGGAACCGACCAGGGCCGGCTGCAACTTTGCCTGGCCAACTGGGCTGGGTCTAAAAAGGGAAAAATTCGGGATACCACAGAAAGTAACCAATTTCTATCTGGAAACTTATGATTGGAATTGGGGGCATCGGGATTTTATACAGTCTATATAGATGTTTATTGGCAACGAATCTTTGGGACGGTTCAACTTAACATAACTCCACCAATGTTAATATGTCGTTTCCACTTTACGAGTACCAGGGAATCCAAGCTGACAAACTGAAATCCCCACTGTCGGGTTCAACAGGTAAACGGTAAATATCTATAAAACTGGATATGTGACATATCAATCATTGTTAAATATTTTAAAAATGGCCCTAAACAATCTATAAATACAGGTCCTAAACAATCTATATTATATCCCAACATTTCTGATGGCCTGTGATTTTTAGTTTTACTTTGCAGAAAGATAAGTTTTGGGCATAATCGTCACCGTCCACAAATAAAAATATAGCCCTGCAGGGATTGGAGGGGTCACCCCAGCTGCAATTCATCACAGCTCCCTGTGGCAATCTTTGCAGCTGGCGCTATCCGTATTAATATTCTTTTGGGGGAGCTTCCGTAAACCTCCAAATTTCACAGGTCATACATTCATAGTCAATCCTATGGATGACTGAGATCCTCATGTTTTTGTTGAGAGCATACTTTATCTCTCCCGCATTTGTGAAATTCCTCCAGCCACAAAACCTAAAAATGATCAGTTGTGCCTGTGGCAGTTGATCATCAGGAAACACGAACATGGACACCAACAGCACCGTTCTCCTTGGGCGTTGCGCGAGAAAGCGGCTGAAAGGACGAAACTTCCAAACATCGAGACTTCCGAATTTGCTTGACGCCTGGGGAGTTGTTTATTGTTGTTTGGGCCATATGCAAAGCAAAATGGGTGATAGCTGGGGTCTACCTGAAATGTACATCAATTCGGATATATATATATATAGATAGATAGATAGATAGATATAGATATAGATATAGATATAGATATGATTTTCCAATTGGCTATTACAGGCACCGGCTATAGCCATTTGCTATAAGTCTGGTTTCAATGGTTTGTTGCCCAAAAATACTGTAAATTGTCTGCCAACTAAATTGCAAAAATCACCCCCTTCGTCTTTGCTTTTCGTGGCCTGGCGTGTGTGCAGAATTAAGCTGAGAATGAAGCTGACAAGGGTTGGTAACTTCAAGTGCTCCACCAAACTAGAAGCAAATGGCCACATCAACAAGAAATTGATTTTCCACACTCATATCTTTGAGAGATTCCATGGCAAGTTTCGTCAACAAAACCTTGTCATAGATGATAAAAACCAGTGAACGTGAAACATCCCACCCACATTGTGCCCATAAAATCCAGCTGAACCCCGTCCCTCCATCACCACCACCAAGCATCGGCGCGTCGCCCAAGCCCCGAACGTCGCGCATGTAGATCTCGTAGAGCGCGAACATGTCCGGATTCAGCGGAAAGGGTGGCTCGTAGTTCGAGAGGCCGCACCTTTGGGCTGAGATGGAGCACATGTTCGTCCCACATGAGGACCGGAGGATATGGCATTTTTGCTACTAAATTAATAACTGGTTGGTGGTTCCAACCCCTCTGAAAATTAGTCAGTTGGGATGATTATTCCCAATAAATAAAACATGTTCCAAATTCCAAACTACCAACCAAATAATATTAACATTTTTTTGGATAAATATCAGTATCCTTAGTGACACCATCCCATGTCACATGATGCCATTTTTCCCCATATTTTGCTGGTTCAATCCCCATAATATCCTGAGTTGGTTGGGGCTTGAATCCCTACTTCTATGGGGCTTCTTGGCACTAGTGGTTAAATCTCTACTTGGAAGTTCCAGTGAAATAAGCGGAGATATAACAAGAGTTATAAGAAATAAGGTTTATACAACCTATCGGGGGTTACCACTTATACCTTATACCCTTAAGTTAGTAAGTTTAAGTGCCCTCCCAAGCACCCAGAAAATATGTAGATTTTGGTGGGACTTTAACAAAAGTATGGGATTTAAGAAAAAAAATGCTGGTACAAAGGGGTTGTATAGTGTGATGATATTGATTATTTTTACTGACAGCATTCAACATCCCATAGCATCAAACAAGAAAAAACCCTGATTTTCTCCCTGGGAGGTTGGACCTTCTGGGGGCACCATGTTTAGCAAATGACATCACTATTTTGGGGAGGGTATCCCCTAATTCATCAACCAAGGTATGATCCGAGGTCGACATTCTTGAACGATTTGTGGGAGAAATAGCACGTAACCTTGACAGCTCCATCATCTGCCATGTGTGAATGTCAGCCTTCCTGTGTTGGAGGATCCAAAGGGTAAAAAGGGTAATGTGGCAGACCCATACATGGGTGCTGAAAACCATCCCCAAATGTGGTAGGCTTATTGTGGTTTATTATTGGCTTTCCCACATTACTTGACACTTCCTGACCTGCCGTGGCTATCGGATAGGCGAGGCGCAAGTGCCGCAGCAACAGCATCATTTTGTACGAGAAGTAGGCAGGCAGAACCACACTGGCAATTATCAAGCCAGCGGGTTGCCATATCCAAATGATTCCTTGGAAGTTTCGGTGGGCTTGGAAGGTATGAATTTATGAGGTCATACAGGTGAAGTGTTTAATGCGTCATTAGAGCGATCCCAACGCAACCATGGAGGTTGTCAAGGATGTTTCAGAAAAATGTTGATCATCCAAGAAGTGGTCCATGGCAGGGTTCACTTGACATTCCGCTTAGCAAAGCTGCAGACATCTGCAGACGGTTAAATTGAAATATGAATCCAAACGGGGCCGTAACGGGGCTATAACGTGTATAATAGCTATGGGAAGTGATACATGTCAAATCATTTCATAATAATCGCTATAACCCCAAATAAAAACGATGAAAAACGATAGTTATTGCCACAATTGAACTACCCCAAGTTGGTATGCTAGGATTTCTTACCATACTTTATCTATTCTAGGACAACTATACATATTATAGATGACTTTCCTCTGTGAGGCGGTCGGATAGAAGGCTACGCCCAGTAAGAGAGGGAGAGAGAGAGAGAGAGAGATGATTTTCCCATCGTTTCCCATCTTAAGAATGCGTGTGACAAATTACCAGATGGTAGCTTGCTAACTACACCTAACTACCAGGACCAACTACCGAAACGGGATCCTTACAACTCATCCATTGATGCCCTACTGTCCCGAAGCAAAAATGCGGCAAACCCAATGATAATCCCTCTAGATTTGGGTATCATTCTACAGTCTACTACTCTACGTCATGCCGAAACAGGTAAACAAAGTAATAGCATGCAATATAACACCCTTTGGGCTTGGATTGCTGTCTCTTCTTTGCCCATGGCATCCATGGCCCAGGCACAAGTTGCACTTACCCTCGACAAAGCCAAGCGTCCGAAAAGCCAGTGGAAAAGGCACAAGCCCGTCGCGAACAAACCACGAAACGTCCTGGTGTAGGCTCAAAGGTTGTTGGGTTTGACTCGATTGGGTATGGGCATCCCACCTTCATGAGGGAACCCTTATACAGTAAATATCAAGATGCATATGTATACATATAAAAATATTTGCGTATGTATGTATATATATATATATTTACACATATCATATCATATCATATCATATCATATCATATCATATCATATCATATATATATATATACATATATAACTATGGTCACCTATGAATGAGGGCTTAAGCGTCCCTGGTTGTGAGAACATGATTTAAGCGTTTTGTGCATGGAACATGGCTGCAGGATAGGCTGCTGTTTCCTGAAATCCCTCGTTGCTTTGGACCAATGAAGGATACCAGTTTGACGGCTCCGATGTTGAACTGTTCCCTCCAAAGTCAGAGATGTACGTAGAGTCGTAGTGTGTGTGTGAGACTTCAGGCCCAAAAGTTCCAAAGTGTGAAATCTGAGTTTGCTGAAAAATCCTACTGCTGTATCTAGATTTGTTACCCCTCCAGGAATACTCCTGACATACTGCCAATAAAGAAATGACCATGATGGACAACTCAATTGGTGGTGAATGGTACTGAATTGGGTTTTAATACAATGGCATCGTTACCTCATAAATCAGTCAATCATGATGAGTAAATCTTCGGTGACTAGGCGCTACTATACTCTTCACTAATACACATCACACTGTCAAAGCATTCAACAATACCACCAGAACAAACACAATATTCAACCCCAGCCATAAAGATCAAAAAGTAGGCTTGTTTGCAAAGCTTGGGTACCCCAATACAACGCGTTATCATCATCCATACCTCAAATTGCACGTCTTGGGGCCTCTCCTCAAGCCACATGAATCATATAGTATTATAGTACAATCATGTGATTGATTTTGACTATTTCTTATTTACATTATGTAACCACATTAACTTTCAAATATTGCCCACATACTGACCTTTTTTCATATCCCACCCATCCCCCCCTACTCACCAGCGCTTTCTCCGGTGCTTTACGACCGGGACCCTCGCCTTCCACCACTGTAAAACTGGAAGCGCAAGGACCAAACGAGGCCAGGCAGCCAGAGAGTCACCAGCAACAGTAGCAGTTGCCGCACACCCTCGGCCGTCATCACCACTGCCTGGTCATGGCAATGGGGGATAGCTCCAAAATGACATCTTTATAACCCTTGGATTTGGGGGTAGCTCATTTTCAGATAAACCCCGAATTTCAAGGGGGTTGAATGTGGGTTAATGGGTTTGCCGCTTTGCCCTAATGGCTTCTTTCAGGGTAGAGATGGCCACTGCTAATATTTAGAAACCATGTTGAAACGTGAGTCTCCACTGACCTTAGGGTGTGTCTATAAATCATTGTAAACCACTATTAACCAGCCTTTCCCTTGCCAACAATCTATATGGAATCGATATTGCATCTATTTACCGACCATTCCTCAACATTTTGTGCCCAAACGAAGAAGGCCGGTCGTCATGGAATTTATGTTCACCTGCTTGGATGTGCAGGCCAGAGGCATCGTAAGTGGCTGATAACCATATATGGATTTTTATCCAGGGAAAGAAAGGGTTGCCAAACACCAGACTGGCGCCACTCTTCGGCATACCACCAGTCTTCCCAAGTGGATGATCCATCGCAGATTTCCAGCAAGGCACTAGCCAAATGCCCGAGACCATGCTGTAGAGGTCTACCAACCAGTAGAGCATCAGCATCACAGTCGTCTGCAGCATTCCTGCTGGAAGTCGCCCATTTTTTGGTGAGCAGCATGGATGATGGATAATGATGGATATGGTGGATATGATGGATATCATGGATGGCAAGCAATGATAGTAGACACATTTGCGATAGATGATGGACATAAGTTCAATGGGGTTACTATGGTAAACATACAGCAATTATGATGATTGAGGCTTAGATTTTCTAATGGGCTACAGCACGGTGGCAAATGGGATCATGTATCATCACAAGAAGCAGTGCAAAATCCATACTGTTTATCACAAACATCCGCAACTGCATGCTTTTCGAACATGTGGATCCTGAACCCAATGATTTTGCAAACCTCCCCGTGAATAGAAACGAATCACTCGAAAAAAATGCCCAAATCGCATCCGGAATTCAACACAAATTCAAAACATCTCATCACCATCCAGTTCTGCACAGATCTATTGAATTCTTCCAATACCCTCCGGCAATCAAACATGACTCAAACAGCCTCCATTCGGGCTGCACCCGCCTCTCAGGTTGGCTGCCTGGCAGGGACGGCTTCGCTTGCAGCCGCCCAGGTGCGAATGGAACTCGCCCCGAGCCCAAAAGTCCAGGTCCAACACACCTCGCCATGCTGCGGAGGCACTCCCCACCCACCCGTGTGATGTTTCAACATGACCTGGAATGGTGATTGCGCTTCTATTGAATGTAGAATATTGTCTTTACATGTACTGCAAAAATATCTGCGTGTGCGACTCAGTGATTTTTGAATACCAATTTCAGCCCTGAAAATGCAGCAAACATGGACTGCTTGTTGAATGAGTCACATCCTTTTCGAAATCAGCGGCATCCATACCATACCAATCCCTGGGTTCCCCTGGCCGTAGTGCATCTTCAACTCTTTGAAGCCAGTAGCCATGGGATGATTCAAGAAATCCTCGAGCTGCCTAAAATGGCGCTGGTGGTTGGGTGGTGGATAAACTTTTGACTTAGGAGAAACTGCCATTTGATACCAAAATCAACATCTAATCTCTCAAAAACATCATGAAATTCATGAAATCTGGTGATAAACCGTTTATCATCGTCCTAAAATCATCTTAGAAGGGGTCCACCCCCCTCCCAAAGGCAGCACAGCGCCTTTTTAAGGCACTGGCTGGCTGATATATCCAAATGTAAATGTTACTGTCATTTTAACAGCTTCAAATCTACGATTTCAAAGCCCGAACATGAGTTCGCTGATTATGTTTCTAATTTATAATCATCATAAGTTTGGTCATTTGGGAATGGACCAAAATTATTTCCCCCCTTTGGAATGGTTTTATATATATATATATATTTATTTATGTATGTCTGTCTGTCTGTCTGTGTGTCCCCGTGTGTATGCAGTATATATACAGAATCGTGTACAGCACAGAATCAATGGGTGCGCCAACCATAAACATGTACCGCGCTACAGCATCCAATGTTTGGGGGGATCAGTGTTCTTGAAGACTAGCAACATAAGCAGCGCGAGAAGCCTAGTGGAAAATGCCAAGTGATGGTTGGTTAATTGGTTAATGCTGGTTCCCAAAGCACCATATAAATGATACTCGAAAATTACCTTACATGAAACAAAGCCTGGGCTAATGAAACTGCTCACATCGTCAGTGAGCATATACTTTTCTATTGACCATAGACGTTTAAGACCGTCTACAGGCTACGCCCACTAGATCCCACGGCACTGAAATGAGTAATCTTGGCACTGTGGCAACCGAGATGGTCCTGGGTGCTGAATAGCCTTACAATGCTAACTTTGGCATTTGTCACTAAATATGGTTTACCCTTAGGCTGAAATCATGAGAAACAAAGTACAAGAATTACTGGTTGGTGGTTTAATCCCTCTGAAACATATGAAAGTCAGTTGGGATGATTCTTCCCAATATATGGAAAAAATAAAATTCATGTTCCAAACCACCAACCAGATTATGATCAATGATCTGAACTGGTTTTTCTACCCACTCCGCAGCTTCCAAAGATAACCAGCAAGCCTCACTACTGCGCCAAGTAGTTCTATTGGATTGATCCAATTGGGTTTTAATCCCTACGTTCCTATGTGTATCCTTTTCCATTGAAGACCTTTTTTCGCACCCCACGTTCTACACCGCCAGTTCCTCAACAAAACTACTATATCAACTCATAAATCTCCATCGTTCATCATTCTTATTGCTTAAATCCGCAATTTTCTTGGTTCAATCACCATTTTTCTTGGTTGAAATCCCTTCACAAACGACCAGGGGCACCACCAGCGGCCATCCGCCACGGCACAACTCCACGGTGGCTTCAATCTGCACGTCGTGTCCCACGAGCTCCGTACTGGTGCTGTGTAACTCCCCGAAGCAGCCCGGGGTGGTCCTCGGCGGGTTGCAACAAGAACGTGGTGCTCATATTATATATATAACGATGGGATCACATTATATTTATATCTTGATATGTAAATATATATATATATATGTGTGTGTGTGCGTGTGTGTGGTACATGTATATAGAGCAAAAACATATGTATATATATATATATCATTATATATATAATTATGTACATACATATATATATATATATCATTATGTATATATATATATATATGTTAGAGAGACCTTTCTGTACTATTTGACGGCTGAAGATTCCTTCTGAATTTCCTTTAAGTTAGAGCTCTAAATTTTAATAAATAAAATAAATATTTATTTTATTTATTTTATTTATTTTCTCAGGAGCTCTAAATTTTAATAAATAAAATAAATATTTATTTTATTTATTTTATTTATTTTCTCAGGAGCTCTAAATGTTAATAAATAAAATAAATAAAATAAATATTTATTTTATTTATTTTATGTATTTTATTTATTTTATTTTGAAGGTCTGTGTGGAGAAGATATGGCTGAGAAAATAAATAAAATAAATAAAATATATAAAATAAATAAAATAAATATTTATTTTATTTATTTTATTTATTTTCTCCCGAGCTCCAAATTGTAATAAATACAAAAAATAAAATAACAAATTATTTTATTTATTTTATTTATTTTCTCAGGAGCTCCAAATTTTAATAAATAAAATAAATAAAATAATTATTTATTTTATTTATTTTATTTAATTTCTCAGGAGCTCCAAATTTTAATAAATAAAATAAATAAAATAAATATTTATTTTATTTATTTTATTTATTTTCTCAGAAGCTTCAAAATTTAATAAATAAAATAAATAAAATAAATATTTATTTTCTTAGCCAAATCTTCTCCACGCAGACCTCCAAAACAAAATAAATAAAATAAATAAAATAAATTAAATATATATTTATGTTGTTTATTTTATTTATTTTCTCAGGAGCTCCAAATTTTAATAAATAAAATGAATAAAATAAATATTTTTTTTATTTATTTTATTTATTTTCTCAGGAGCTCCAAATTTTAATAAATAAAATAAATAAAAAAAATTATTTATTTTATTTGTTTTATTTATTTTATTTATTTTATTTTGAAGGTCTGTGTGGAGAAGATTTGGCTGAGAAAATAAATATTTATTTTATTTATTTTATTTATTAAAATTTGAAGCTTCTGAGAAAATAAATAAAATAAATAAATAAAAATTATTTTATTTATTTTATTAAAATTTGGAGCTCCGGAGAAAATAAATAAAATAAATAAAATAAACAAAAAAAAAAAAAAAAAAATAAAAAAATATATTTATTTTATTTATTTTCTTTATTTTCTCCGGAGCTCCAAACGTTAATAAATAAAATAAGAAAAGAAAATATTTATTTTATTTATTTTCTCAGGAGCTTCAAATTTTAATAAATAAAATAATTATATATTTTATTTATTTTATTTATTTTATTTTGGAGGTCTGTGTGGAGAAGATTTGGCTGAGAAAATAAATGTATATTTTATTTATTTGATTATTAAATTTCAAAGCTTCTGAGAAAATAAATAAATAAATAAAATAAATATTTATTTTATTTCTCAGGAGCTCACAAATTTAATAGATAAAATAAATATTTATTTTATTTATTTTATTTATTTTCTCAGGAGCTCTAAATTTTAATAAATAAAATAAATAGAATAACAATTTATTCTATTTATTTTATGTATTTTCTCAGGAACTCCAAATTTTAATAAATAAAATAAATAAAATAAATATTCATTTTATTTTTTTTAATTTTATTTAGTTAATTTATTTTATTTATTTTATTGTGGAGGTTTGTGTGGAGAAGATTTGGCTGAGAAAGTAAATATTTATTTATTTTATTTTCTCAGGAGCTCCAAATTTTAATAAATAAAATAAATAAAATAAATATCTATTTTATTTATTTTTTATTTTTTTATTATGTTTATTTTATTTTGGAGGTCCGCGTGGAGAAGATTTGGCTGAGAAAAATACTGGGCAACATGCATCTTGTGACCATATGGAACGTATGTTGAGGCAGAACCGTGACAGTCATGGAAAACGTGGTGAAACACAAATCAAGTAGATATAGTGGGAGAAAAGGTTTCAACAAGTGTCCTGAAATACTGTTTTCAGAGCCCAAAAAAGGGCTAATTAGGACACTTGTTGAAAACATATGTCAATTCCTCTCACAAAAGCATGCAAATAAACTCAAAAGTAAAAAATGCAAAAACCAAGAAACCGCAAAAGCCAACGAGCCAAAATAACGTCAAGTATATACCTTCAATATGTATTACATTGAATTTATTTCATATTTTTTTTCTTCAGAAATCGTTTGCGAAGATGACTTTACTTCAGAACATCTACTTTTACCTGAGAAGTCACTGGGAGAAATTTTGTTTTTCTTTCATGGTATTTACATTTTGCAGCAAAGGACTCAAAGGACATAAACTTATACAGGTTCCACATGCTAATTTCTTCACATTCCTCACAACATTTGGACATTCCTTCTGTCTCCACTATCAGATTCACGGAAATTCGGAAAAGCTATCACACATCTTTTGGCGCATTCTTGATGCACTTTTGATGCACGTTTCCTTTTTTTTTACATTTTACTAATTCTGCAAAAATCCACAAAAAAAATTATGCAAAATCTTCTGGATCAGTAAAATTGCTAAATTAGTGAAATTACTAGCTTTGGAGACTTAGGGTAGACATGTTTCCATCAGAGAATTTACTTGAGATGGGTTGTGCTGAGAATATTGACTTTACTTTTGGCAATCTATAAAAAGTCCTTACTTGACTGGTCACTTGCAAAGATTCTGGCTTTACTTGGCCATATCCATTAAACATACAAGTATGTGACAAAACCAATCCTTTGTTATGGAAAAAATGGATTGTCACATTGTGAACTAAAACGACATTCACTAAATCTAAAAAATGCTGCTGCATTTGTGTTACAAAATCACAATTTCAATCAAACATGCTAAGAAAAAAATGCACGGTCGATGCACTTTTGATGCACTTTTGGTTTTTCACAAAATTTACTAACATCAAGAAAACTGGAGAAACAATTACGTAAATTCTTCCCTTTTAGTAAATTTACTAAATTAGTTAATTTACTAGTTTTGGAGACTCAGGGTTGGGAGTGAGATTTTTCTCAGTTTGCCAGCCCCTAAATGTGTTGCTTGTTGGAGGAGCTTTCCAAATACAAGCAAATTAGAAAATGCAATGTCGCAAGTTTCGAAAAGGAAAAAAATCAGCTAAGAAAATGCGACGTCGCAAGTTGCAAAAAAAATGCAACTCAGAAAATGCAACTTTGGAAGTTGCATTTTTTCGCATTCTCCGTTGCATTTGTTTTGGTGCCGTTGCATTTTTGTTTGCATTTTTTACGTTTTTTTTTCGTAAAAAAAATACAAAAGTTGATCAAAGTTGCAAAAAAATGCAGCGGAGAAAATGCAACGTCGCAAGTTGCAAAAAAAATGCAACGGAGAAAATGCAACGTTTCCGTTCCGGATGAACTGTTTATGTATGTATCGTATTTTTGTTTCTCTCCACCCATTTGCCTTTCACTACACCCCACCGCCCAACCCTTCATCGCGACCCTGCCCATCACCCCAACTTCATTTAACCCTCTCCGCTTTCCATGCATGCTCACTCCTCTTCACCCCTTTGTCCCCTAGCACCTTATCTTCAGAACAGGAATGAAGGTGTTGAGTGGAGGCAGAGATGAACATGTAGAAGGGTGGAGAGGGGGATGGAAGAGAACAAGTTTGCGGAGAAGTGAAAAGGCAAGGGAAGGAGCACAAGCAGTGGATCAAGCAAAAAACGAAATAAATATGCATCGTTTATCGTTTGTATCAATTTTTGGCGACCTTCTCAGCCCTTCACTCCACCCTTCATTTCACCCTTCACTCCACCCTCGCTCCGCCCTCGCTCCCCCCTCACAGAAAAAGCAACGAAAAGCATGCACTTTTACATTGCCTGAGAGGCAAAATGCCTTAGTCCACCCTATGCTTTGTAATGGCACTGCTGCTTTTGAATCATGTCTTAAGAGACTTGTTCCAATGCACATTGAAAAGTATGTCCAAAAAAGAAAGTAGACATACATTTTAATTTTGATTTTGATCTTTGCAAGCAAATATAAGATGGAGCTGGAAAAGGCAATCACAATTGAACTTTAAAGTAGTTTTGAAGAAAGAAACGGCTAGATAAGAAAGCAGTCAGGATGAATTGCTTGCATCTATTTGATGTACATGTTCCTTTTCTCCATCCATCTGCCTTTCGCTACGCCCACCGCCCAACTCTTCATCGTGACCCCGCCCATCACCCCAACTTCATTTAATTCTCTCCGCTTTCCATCCCTGCTCACTCCTCTCCACACTTTCTGCCCCTAAGATTCTTTTCGGAAAGAGGAATGAGGGTATTGAGCGGAGATGGACATGTAGAAGGGTGGAGAGGGGGAGAGAAGAGAAAAAGCCGCTGGAAAGTGAAAAGGGAAGGAGAGAATCCCAAGGAGTGGATCGCGCAAAGGATGTGAATAAATACAGTAGATGTATCCTTGTACTTGGTATCAATTTTTGATCACCTTCTCCACACCCCACCCTTCATTCCACCATCGCTCCAACCTCGCTCCACCCTCGCATCACCCTAGCATCATCTTCACCCAACCTCTCCAACCATATCCACCCCTTCCACCTACCCTTCCACCCACAACTTTCCACCTGCTTCACCCCCTTTCTACGTCTTTCTCCTTTGTAGGTGGAGAGGGGGGAGGGCAAGAGGCTGTGGAGAAGTCTAGAGACCTTCACCTGACAATAACTAAAAACCTGTGATCCCTCAAGTCTTAAAATTTGACCCATGTTCATTTGCAGGTGCCAGTATTGTGGTTTCAGAACCCCGTCATTCTATACATAAAGGTCCCCTCCACATATATATATATGGTGAAATTTCTGACAAATATTTCGCCAATAAAACATGGGAATTACCAAATAACAACATGATGTGAATTAGCAAGAATAAAGGGGAATTAAGTTATGATGAGGTATATTAAACGGCCTGATAATCAAATGATCATTTATTGGTGGTCCATTGAATGGTGATGTCACCAATAAAAAAGGGAAAGGAAGGGCAACGCAAACAAACATGGTCTGACCAATAAACATTGTGATTTGATAAGGGGTTCAGGAAACATAAAAGGGTTTGACCATGAAAAATTCAGAAACGTTGCCGTTTCTTTAACTATTTGTACAGCACAAATTGCAGTCTTTTTAGCCGCAAATCCGTCCTAAAGTAAGACATTTGGTTGATTGGCCTGGCCAGCAAGTCCCCGTATCCAGTGGTTTTACCCTTCTCCACCTATGGTTCTCATGCCAAGCCAATGGGGAACCGGATATACAAATGCCATGACCCTCAAAATGTCAAACATCGAGCCCACTTGGTGCTTGAATATGTTGAGTGAGTTTCATATAATCCCAATTTGTAGTCACTGAAGTCACCAGCACCTACTAAATTTAGATGAAGCCCCAAACATGATCATCAACATCCACCGGCAAAGCTATACCCAGTATCACCCCCGGCCACAGTAACCCGCCGGGCAACAGGGTCACGCGGTGGTGTAACATCACATCCTCCTGGATAGGCGCATTTTTTTTGAGTAATTTTATGGGTGCAACATGGTGCAACCATGGTGACAATAACTTGCGATAGAGCCCCTGTAATGGGGTTCATCAACCCCTGGTCTCTTTGAAAGGCAATTGATTTTCATCGTAAGGCACCAACAAATAGATTAATTGGTGGCAAATGATTCCCCAGGATTATCCAGGAAAAAAACATGAGTTCCTCCAATTTGTCCCTTCAACAAATCACTTGATTGCTTGATTGACCCGGGATGACCCGGGGTTTGACATCAGATTATATTTCATGATTACATGATTCACAGTAAATCAGTTGACTACATATGATTACATTAGGTGTGGACATTCTATATAGCCAGGACGTTCTATATAGCCACCATTCCCCACCCACGGAGGCGCAACAACTCCTGGATATGTTCCAAGAGCCTTCCACGCTGAAAAATCACTGCTAGCTGATGAGGCCCCTCGCGGCGCACCTGCTGTTGGAGAGTAGCCCAGATACCAGATACAACCGGGGATACCCCATACTCCAAATGGAATTTTCATGGCACTCTTAGAGAGAGAGAGAGAGGGAGAGAGAGACAGAAAGAGAGCTACATATATATAGAGATACACGTATATTCTAGACAAAGTTAAATGTTTAGCTGGTTGGTGTGGATACCCCCATCAAAATTGCAAAGACACATGCCAAACTACCCAACAAACGTGTAAGAAGTGGTGCAGATTGGAAACAAAGGGAACTGCTCAGGCTACAGTAAGCGAAAACACACCGATGAAAAAAAACGTGTTGGAGAGCAAAACTCATCAAAACAAGTTTGTTCGCGATAAAAAAACAATCATTTTTCTTCTCAATTTACAATGTTCATCCCTGCTTTGTTTGTTGAACCACTTTGTTACACCCTGAAAAACATCACACAGAACCCCAAAAATGACCGTATCCAATAAAATTGTTATTGTCTGGGCCCAAGTTGATAAATAATTCTCCATGTTGCTTAGTTTACTATGTCATTGATTAGTTTAGTTTACTATCATAATAATTATCGACTTGGGCCTAGATATCTATGATAATATTTACTATCATGATATATTGGATAATTCCCAATGGTTAGTTTACTATGTCATCATTCATATCCAATAAAGTCACCCCAACCCCCGTGTAAAAAAGGCAGCTTCCTCAGTGCACCCATCCTCGCCCACGGCACCTCAAGAAATTCAGGACCTGGGCGTGCCCGGATGGTACCCTAAAAATAGCTGGGTCAATGGATGTTTATTCCCCTAAATATGGTAAGGGTCCCTCAACAAACCTGAAACTTTTATGATATGAACTGTGCAAGAGAACCATGATTTTCCGTGTTTTTGTTGCTGTTCCATATTATGTATGAATCTCACATCTCAATTTGCCAAGGTCTACCTGGCACCAAGTTCTGCCCCAAGGGGCATTTCAAAGTCAGCTCGCGGCCCAAGTCCAAGGATGGGCCGGGCGCCACGATCAACTGGCCAAGGCATCGGAAAAGTTGGGACAGAGGGTGAAATCAGAAAACTTGGGAGAACAAATCAATAATGTACTGTATAAGGGGAAATATATTGGATAGAATAAGGATGAATAAGGCTTCAATACAAATAATGATTTTTTTTGCAAGCAACAAACGGATCAACAAACATGTTGCACCTATTTTCACCCATTAAAAACGGCCACAGACATGAAGCATACCCTCTTTCAGCTAAAACCATGTATAAAACATACTCTCTTGACCATTAAAAAAAACATGCGCCTGGTTCCCCGTGTCGAATGATTCTAATGTACACCCCCATGGTGGGCGCATCCACATTTTCATGATAAGATCCCAAGAGTAATTAATTCTTCAACATGCCACATGCCAGGGTTTATTCCATGTTTCTTGGCCCTTTCACCATTTCTACAATTTAGATTTGCAAGTATAATATAACATAAAGAAATGTATCCCACCTTGAATTGAACCGCAAAATATGGAACCAGTATTGGCAACTTCTCTCTGGCATAGCCAATTTTAGATCGCCAACTTGGCTGCTTAGTCTCCTAAACAACACATTCGGTCGCGTTTACCAGATATTCGCCCATTGCTTCTTTTAAAGTCCCTAATTGCATCCTAACTGTTGTTGGAATTGCATCACATTGGTGGTTAAATCATCTTAAATCATCATTTTTGATGATGAAATCACTGTTCTTGATGATAAGTTAGAGTATATCACTCCATTTGATGGATCCCTGTTTCTTCGATTGTTAAGTCCCTATTGCCACATTTGCGGTACCACTTTCCCGCCAGGTCCCCACCTGCAGCTCGAAGTCCTCCAAGGGCGGCCAAAGGCCCTTGAAGGCCTGCGACGGCTGCAGCCGCGTGCGGCCGTCCAAGAGCACCAGGCGGCACGGCTTGTGGCCCGTCCTCGGAGAAGGCTGGTGGCGAAGTGATGGCTGGAAAACGGACAAAGCACTTGGATGATCCTGGGTGAGAGAAGATTGGAAATGAACAGACATTGGGGTCATGATTCTGGATAACTTTAAATAAATCACCAACCTGGATCAAGGTCATGTTGGGATGATTCCCTTCTACTTGCCATAGGCTACGGTGACGCTAGGAGTGGTTCATACTACTGATGAAGGATGTAGCTGCTGTATGTAATTGATTTTGCGGCCAAACCTCCCATAGCAACCACACAGACATAGTAGATTAATTATGCAAAGAAGTCACGTTGCAGTGACCTTACTATGCCCCAACAATTCAAAACTCAGCAACCATGCAACTACTCAAAGGAATGACCCACATATAAAACGCACAAAAACAATCTCAAAACATGGCGTTCTCCGGCGCATGTGGCTCGTAGCCCTGCCGGCCCCACCCTAGAGGCCAAGTTGCATCTGGCAAAGCATGTTGATGAGATCTGAAACCTGGGAAAACTGATCCCAAGACTGATACCAAGGCAATCATCACAAACCTCCTATAGCTGGAAGGATCCTCCCAATCTCATCCCAAACCACCCGCTATACTTGTTATATAGTGTTATATCATTTGCGTAGCACCATCTTTGGATGATGTTGCCATATTTTTTCTTGGTTCTTGTTGCATGTTGCATCCAATGTTCCATTTTGAACCCCACACATGTCTACGAATACATGCACCTACCATTTACACATGTCTATCACTCCCGTGTAGGCTTCTCATTGGCTTCTCCCACTATCCCCCCTAATCACATTCCCGCCAAAGTGCTGCCCCCTACTTAGCAGCGTTGTTTCATCAGTAACCAATCTTAAGCTTCATGATAGATATACCTATGAAAGTGTTATCAACAAACGTAAGCCACTAAACCATCCAACCTGGGTTTTACGGTTACATCATTTTTTCCCCACCTGCCAGGTGAGGGTTGTTAGATTTTATGTCAGTTGCCTGGTCCTCCTCCTCCTCCTCTCCTCTCCTCCTCCTCTCGTTGTCCTCCTCCTCTCGTTGTCCTCCTCGTCCTCCTGCTCAACTGCGACTCGCGATCCACAGTGTTCTCTGTCGGACCTCAACCACGACCATCCACGCCCAGTGTTCCCTGCCGGACCTCAACCACGACCATCCCCGCCCAGTGTTCCCTGCCGGACCTCAACCACGACCATCCACGCCCAGTGTTCCCTGCCGGACCTCAACCACGACCATCCACGCCCAGTGTTCCCTGCCGGACCTCAACCACGACCATCCGCGCCCAATGTTCCCTGCCGGACCTCAACCACGACCATCCTCGCCCAGTGTTCCCTGCCGGACCTCAACCACGACCATCCACGCCCAGTGTTCCCTGCCGGACCTCAACCACGACCATCCACGCCCAGTGTTCCCTGCCGGACCTCAACCGCGACTTCCAGATCGCAGTGGGCACTGCCGGACCTCAACGGCAAGAATGTCAGAAAAGACGTCAGATAGAATGTCAGAAGATATGTCAGAAAGAATGTCAGAAGATATGCCAGACAGAATGTCAGAAGATATGCCAGAAAGAATGTCAGAAGATTTGCCAGATAGAATGCCAGAAGATATGCCAGATAAAATGCCATGAGATATGCCAGATAGAATATCAGAAGATATGCCAGATAGAATGCCAGAAGATATACCAGATAGAATGCCAGAAGATATGCCAGATAGAATGCCAGAAGATATGCCAGATAGAATGCCAGAAGATTTGCCAGATAGAATGCCAGAAGATAGAATGCCAGAAAATATGCCAGAAGATATGCCAGATAGATATGCCAGAAGAAATGCCAGAAGATATGCCAGATAGAATGCCAGAAGATATGTCAGATAGAATGCCAGAAAGATATGCCAGATAGAATGCCAGATAGAATGCCAGAAGATATGTCAGATAGAATGCCAGAAGATTTGCCAGATAGAATGCCAGAAGATTTGCCAGATAGAATGCCAGAAGATAGAATGCCAGAAGATATGCTAGATAGAATGCCAAATAGAATGTCAGAAGATATGTCAGATAGAATGCCAGAAGATTTGCCAGTAAGAAAATGTATAAATGTCATGGTCACACGAAGTAAAGTAATTTATCTTAAAATATGTTGTATCTATTATGTCTAGTTATTATATAGGTCCTTTTATAATATTTCACATCTCTTAGTTAGGTCCATAAACCCAACTTGAGAGGGGGAACACGAAAGGTAGGTAAGCAAGAAAGGAACCGAAGAAAAAATGAAGGGGAGAGGGGAGGGAAAAATACATAAAGTGGAGTCTGGGAAAAGCGACGCGGCCATTTTCTTTCCAAAAATATGAAGGGGAGTCTGGTAAAAGCGACTGAAAGGCTTCGGCGATGTGGTTGGGGTTGGTGGCGGTTGTGGTGTTGGGGGTGTTGGTGGTGCTGGTGGTGTTGGTGTTGTTGGTGTTGTTGGTATTGGTGTTGTTGGTGTTGTTGGTGGTGGTAGTGTTTCTGGTGTTGTTAGTGTTGTTAGTGTTGTTGGTGTGGTTGGGTTTGTTGGTGGTGTTGGTGTTGTTAGTGTTGTTGGTGTTGGTATTGTTCGTGTTCGTGTTGTTGTTGTTGTTGTTGTTGTTCTTGTTGTTGTTGTTGTTGTTGTTGTTGTTGATGTTGTTGATGTTGTTGTTGTTGTTGTGTGTTGTTGTGTGTTGTTGTGTGTTGTTGTGTGTTGTTGTGTGTTGTTGTGTGTTGTTGTGTGTTGTTGTGCGTTGTTGTGTGTTGTTGTGTGTTGTTGTGTGTTGTTGTGTGTTGTTGTGTGTTGTTGTGTGTTGTTGTGTGTTGTTGTGTGTTGTTGTGTGTTGTTGTGTGGTGGTGTGTGTTGTTGTGTGTTGTTGTGTGTTGTTGTGTGTTGTTGTGTGTTGTTGTGTGTTGTTGTGTGTTGTTGTGTGGTGTTGTGTGTTGTTGTGTGTTGTTGTGTGTTGTTGTGTGTTGTTGTGTGTTGTTGTGTGTTGTTGTGTGTTGTTGTGTGTTGTGGTGTGTTGTGGTGTGTTGTGGTGTGTTGTTGTGTTGTTGTGTGTTGTTGTGTGTTGTTGTGTGTGTTGTGGTGTGTTGTTGTGTTGTTTGTGTGTTGTTGTGTGTGTTGTTGTGTGTTGTTGTGTTGTTGTGTGTTGTTGTTGCGTTGTTGTGTTGTTGTGTGTTGCGTGTGTTGTTGTGTGTTGTCGTGTGTTGTGGTGTGTTGTTGTGTGTTGTTGTGTGTGTGTGTGTTGTTGTGTGTGGTTGTGTGTGTTGTTGTGCATTGTTGTGTGTTGTTGTGTGTTGTTGTGTGTGTTGTGTGTTGTGGATGTGTTGTTGGTGGGTTGTTGTGTATGTGTGTGTTGTTGTGTGTGGTTTTTGCGTGTGTGTTGTGGTGGTTGTTGTGTGTTGTGTGGTGTGTCTGTGTGTGTGGTGTGTGTGTTGCTGTTTTGTGTGTTGGTGTTGTACTGCGTGTGCGGTTGTGCGTGTGCCGTGGGCTGCATTGGGCATTGTGCGCTGTGCGTAGTGCGTTGTGCGCGTTGCTTGTTGCGTTGTGCGTGTGCGTTGGGAGCTGTGTGCGTGTGCGTTGTGAGGTGTGCTTGGGTCGTTGTTGTTGTTGTTGTCGTCGTTGTTGTTGTTGTTGCTGTTGCTGTTGGTGTTGTTGGTGTTGGTGTTGGTGTTACCCCTGCAGCGTTTTTGCTCGGTTCCGTAGTGGCCGAAAATCGTCAAATCGGTGGTGTTTTCGCGTGTTTTTGCAACTCTCGGAGCAAAAAACACCGTAAATACCAATGTTTTTGGGGGGTCGGAAGCCCAAAACCACGGTATTTACGATGTTTTTTGCCTCTGGTAGTAAAAAGCACGGTATTTACAGTGTCTTTTGGCCAGCACCTGGCAAAAACACTGGTATTTACGGAGGTTTCACCATGTAGCAAAATGTGGTTTCTTGATCCGAAAAGAACAAAAATACTGTAAATTACAATGTTTTGAGTCTGCTCTTAGGGTGCGTGGGAGGTGTGGAGGGGTGGGGTGGGGGGTACTAAAATGACTAGCAATCTCCTGAAGAATCAGGTAACGGGGCTGGCCGCCCTCCCCTTTACTTCGTAAAGTAAAACTCAAGGTAGCCCCTCTGGAGCTACCTTTCGTGACAAACATCCCATCAGGACCCTTGCATCATCCCAGTCCAGGCGCCCTGTTGTAGGCTTTCAGCTCCTGATGCGTCCGCTCCAGGATGCAATCCCCGGCCATGCTGAAAATACGCAGCTTGCGCTCCGTGGCACAGCCCAGGACTGTGACCTCCACATCGCCTGGTTCGATGGTTGGATGGGCCGTTGGCTGGGATGGGAGATCTGAAGGAACTGGCTAACATCATTGGGAAATATTGGGAACATGAAAGTTTCACCAGCAAAAAAAATGCTGGCTTGATGTAACTGGTTAGTTTTGTGGGATATCATGGGTCACGAGGATTCAAACGGTCGATGCGCCCTTATTAGTGGTTGGTGGTTAGGGTAGGCCCTTAATAGACACCCGTTTTTTAGGGATCACCAACTGAAGGGGGGTGGATTGAATTCCACATCAAATTCTCTTGCCATCTCCATCATCTCAAACCTTGGTTTGCTGGATCCATCTGGATGAGAATTCCCACCCCTAATGTTATTGTCATTTTGGCTCATTTTGGATTACTTCTCTTAACAGACCATCATCTAAGTGTGTCTAAAAATGGGTCAAAAAACAAAACCCTAATTTCATGGACATGCTTGGTGGAGAAATTTATCTAATTAGTGCATTTTCTGAAAGCGAGTGTATTCCTCAATGAAAACTTGGCCAATTTTGGGATCATTTCCTCTATTGCATAGCAATCCGGAGTCAACGAGCACACGAGCCCGCACGCCAAGCAGCTGCGGGAGGAAGCTGACTTTGCCACATATAATCTGCAGGGCGCAGCAAAATGCAGCAAATGCTTCAGCTTTGCGGTGCTACTGCTGCAGGAAACCAAAAAAAAAGTTGGCAAGTTTTGCCATTCAAATGGGAAATGTTGAAGTGTGGAAATCCTGGAAACCACTGACCGGGAGAAAAAAAGGCTTGGAAATTCACAATTCTTGCTAGCATCTGCAGTTGGAAATTGGATCGAATTGGATCAATGCGTGGCTGATTTCCCCAAGGAGTCAGTTTGTGAATTCATTCCGGTTAATTAGTTGCTTTCCCCTTGAGGAGAGGGACAACAAAAACACATTTTGCACTACCATCCTAACATAACCCTGAAGCAGGTATATTCATAAAGCCGTCCATCTCTCATGAGTAGTTAGCTGAAACCGGGAGAAACAAAACAAACAAAATCAACCTCAGCCAAAAGAAAGGATAATGCTGAAGAAACCAATGGGCACACCATGCACGCCCTGCATCCCAGCTAAACATACTAAAACCTAGTTGGATCTAGTTGGATTAATGGGGTATGCTGCTGTACTCCAGTTAGATTAGTCGGCCACTCTCGGCACCCAACCCTTTCACCCAGACACTGATCCGTTTCACTGTCTGTCATGGCGGCATTCGCTGTGGCCCGATCTGGGACCCCCGGTCCCGTGGCACACGGGCGGTGCAGTCGTCTCCGGTTGGAAAGAAGAATGACTTGGTTTTAAAGCTGGGTATGGACAAATCATGTGTTAACTACAGCAACGTAAGGCTCGCCATTGACATCTCACAGTTTTTAATGTAATGTGAAGAATACCTTGCCCACATGAGGCCAACATTGCTCACATGCACGCTCGTTACAGCTTCATGTTTTTTTCAACTCTTTCTTGGCCCTGATGGAACCGAAGGTGAAACCAGCAAACACTTGAGCCGCCAGGCAAGTGAATGCGCCGCTTCACTGGAGGATGGCCACAGGCCATTTCATGACCTTGACCTGGCAAGATTGCTATATAAATCCAGCTAGACAAATCATTGATACCTCTCTCCAGAAGATGTGTGAGGATCTATGCCGCACAAAGCCCCTCGTCAAGGCCATCTTTTAGGTCCAAACTCCAGATATCTGTGTTGTACCACTACAGTGGCAGCTACAAATGAAGGAAAATTAACCCACCGAAGTAATGAATGGTTCACCAGTAAAATCCCGTGACTGCGCACCGAACACCATGATGCAAGCCAGTTCAAAGGTGGGGTGTCATTGAGTTCCTGGCTTCTTTGTGTTGCCTGCAGCATCCATCAGCTGGTAGCCGCAGCCACTTCCCCGGAGTGCTGGGTCGAGTTAGAGTGACTCGGAAAAAGACCTTCAAGAAACATAGGGCCCAAATGGTCCAAATGGTACCTTTCCAACAAACAAAGCATAGAAAATATGAATGCCCTCTGGTAAACGACCATAAACTTGAAGTCCAATTATGCAGCCATTTGTTCCGGGAAATCATGCGATGGACATGGGGGGGTTGTTGACTTTCCGCTGTGGGGCAAAACATGTAAAAAAAAAACCAAAAAACCTATCCAAACGATTCCGTGCATGATGCGGGTACAACATGGTACTAAGGCTGCTAAGGTGCCGACCAAATGCTGTTGGTTTGTCCTCAACTTGGTATGGCCATACACGGGGCCAACTGCAGCCAACACCACAAATGTGTACTGGCCATGTTCAAGTGTGCACTAACCATCACTAACCTTAAGGTTTACCAACATCAGCACCAATACACGCACCATTTGAGACGATGCTTTTGGAACACGCCTAAATCAAATTCATTAAACATCAATCAGTGATAACACAACCCAAGCTTGACCAGTCGCAGGGGTTCACCTCTGAAATCTGGCCCACCGAATGGATTCCCAAGTGGTCTTGATGTTGGCAAACTCTGCCACCATCCAGGCCCGGTAAACCATATATTAATTATTAATGTAGTAACTGTAGTATATTATATCAAGTGAAATAAGAACAAAACGATGCTGAACTCTCAAGGTGCCAATGTTAGATTTCACCCAGTCCTAGAGGGATTGATGGCGAGGTTACCTTTAAAAAATATCCCAAGTTCTTCCATCCTGTAGCTTCGCCAGGAGCCCAGCGCCCTGCCTCCCTGGACCTCTTGCGTCTGGAACGTGTCTCTACTATCGACCTTGCAGCGCCCAAGTGATGGAAAGGTAGCCCCCCCCGCCAAAAAAAAGAGCAGAACTACAACATCAACCAACTGTGGTAGAGGCGATAAGTGCAAGATAGAAACAATGCATCCAACAGTTTCAAGGGTAAGTAGAGGCCAAAAAGTGCACGATACAAATTGGCGAACCCCTTTTCTTAAACATCTCGGAACTTACACTTACACAGGCATGATACGTGTATATAGTATTATATAGTTACACTAAAAAAAAAGTGAAACCCCATGCTGGACCTTTACCATCCCGAATTGTGCAACCATGTAGCGGCTGTAACCCGACCCAAAACAACAATAGACAGTGGGATTTCACTAGCACTTGACACTGCAAGCGCAAAGCCCACCCCAAACGTCAAGTCCCCCCGCAAGCGCTTCCACAAATCTTCACTGGTTACCTCCTGGCAATGGCATGGGCAGAGCCAGTTTTTTTTTTAAACACGTGATGAATTCGTGGCGAAGCTCAAGTGCCAATCGTGAACCAACCGAAACTAAGGCTCACTAAAAAAAACAGAGTTTGTGCAGCATCCCAGCCGTGAATGTTTAAACCTTTCACTTCCAAACAGTCTCCAAAAGTTGCTGGGAGGATCACAACAAGTAGCGCCAAAAGGCCTAAATGTCTGATGTCTTCAGAAAATGACAAGTGTCAAAACGACGTCGACACATTTTTCACTGTGCCTTCCTAATCAATCCAATTCTCAAAGCTAAACTATTCGAACTATACGTAGGCAGTAGGGCTGGTGCTCAGCATGCACGCCGAGCGGCATGCGCGGAAACAGCTGAGAACCCGCTAATCAAAAACATTGTCAGATAGATCCGGCATCAAGAAAATGACAATAGAAGACAATGGGCAATTCAAGAAAAATCTGCTATCAAACATGGTTGTCCCAACTCCAAAGCAATCGGCAAAGAGTTGCTTTGTCCGATAGTGGTGTAAGTTGAAGGATTTCAGGAGCATGTGCCATCTCCATCCCTGTGCCTGGGCGCAAAGCAAACCTTAATTAAATACAGTAAGCCTGGGTTCATCCAAAAACTCTAAGCAGCCATCTTCTATGGCAGCGAATAGACAAATCCGAACCGGCACGGCCACACCAACGGTCAGTTCATCTAAACTTTCAGCGCGCACCATCCAGCTTTCTGCTTTGACATAGACTTTTACGAGTTTCCAAGTAAAGCTGTGCGCATCAGCATCATAGGTTCTTTCCACTTCAACTTTGAAGTAGTTTTCGTCTTCCAAACAGAATGGCTTTGCCAAGGATGCGGCGGTGTCGGCATTCATCACCACCGTGTGAAATGCATCAATGGCTTTCTTCCAAAGTTTCCGGAATGGTTGATTGTCCAGCTGCGCTTGTTCCCTCATCTTTGACAGAGTGGTGACATGTGTCTGTGCGTTCCATTCAATTGGGCTGAACATGTGACAATCGACTGGTTTGCTGTTGGAGGGCCCTGATGTCTCTGTGACAAGACAAATGCCTAGTCCGTGGGTTGGACGCCCCAACTTGAAACTGAAAATGAATTTGTTTTTGTCTCCTGGCAACGTTTCAGACAAGCACATAGGCATGGAGCCTTCGGAGAAAGGCTGAAAGTGTGTCGGAAGAGGAGGCTGTAGATCAGGACCCTGCAAGGGAAGCAGTGCATCTTTCTCATCATCCTGGCCCTGCTGAAAAAGTTTCACATGCGATGCGCATACTGTGCCCACAGGCAAGAGGGTTGGAGTTGAAGGCGATGGCATCCAAAACTCCCGAACGATGGGGTCGTCTTCATACAGGAAAGCAAGTTTTCCATCACGGTAAATGGTCATGCTGGTAATAGTTCGAAGATTCGTGGACAGCGGTGGCAATCCTTCTTCGCTATCAAAAAGGATGCCTGAGATGCCTGTGCCCAGGACGTGGCGGACCTCCCAGGTGTCCATGGTCACATGGAAAATTTTGTGCTGCCCATGATCGTACACGAAAAGGCCACTATGGTAGGCTGCAATGTGCCTTGGTTCCATGCCTTCAAACACTACCTGGCACTCGTTCTTTTTCCTGTCGAAGCAGAGGACTCGTTGGTTCCCAGCATCTGCAATGAACAAACGCCTGCTGAACACAGCTGTGTCGGTTGGATTTCTGAGCAACTGCTCTGAGGGTCTCTTGCTATCACTGCATCCCGGTACTTCGACTTGTCCAATCAAAGGGCGGATGCATTTTGTCTCCATATCCAGTGAATATACTTGGTGCCGGTGCCCAGGGCAAAAATAGGCATGGGAACCTGTCAAACTGAAACCTGTAAATCCTGTATGCTGTCTCCAATCTTCCATAATCACGTGATGGGTCTCTGAAACCGAGCCAACGGAAACAAAGTGGGATCTCCAGAAACCACCGCTAACCACCATACACCCATCACCTTCCATAGCATCACCAATTGCCATCCCGGAACTCATGTCCACACACCTAAAAGATACCTGATCACCAACTCCCTCATATCGAACAAGCCAGCCATCATTATTATACTTGTGCACATACAAATCGCCTGCATGGGAAGCCACATGTCGTGCATCCTTAACGTTTAGCACGCGTCTCACCACACCAACACCAAGCAAATCCGTTGCCATTGACGGGGCGGACGGGGCCCATTGCTCCTTCAATCGCCTGATGTCTTGGATGATAGGATGATCTGACGTCAGCAGCGTCTGCCACTTGGCATCCGCCGCAGCGACCTGCAGGACTTTGCTGAAGGCACTTTGCTGAAGCTGATCAACATCAACATCACCCATTGGTTGCAGAACCGGCCGGAACTCCGTTGGTATCTCACAGTTCCTCATCCGTTCCGACAATGACTGCAAAATGCTCACACCCTTCCAACAGAAAATGATGGGAACCCCTGCAACAAAGCGGTACTGACTTGCACTGCAACCAGCAACTAGCTGATAAATCACCAGCTTGACAAACAACTCGTACATGTGGGGTTGAATTTCTGCCTGCAAAGCTGACATTTTTCCTGACAACTTATTGTTGGCAGTCTGAAACATCTTCTCCAACCCTGCCACAACTTCTTGACCGAGCTCTTGAAATGCGGCGTGGTCCTGCTGCTGGGGCTGCACCCAGCAGCAAAAGTCTTTCCATGCCTTGAGCCTCATTAGGACAGGAGACATGAAGAAAAAATAAAAATAAAATATAGAGCAGAAAAGGTAAACACCTACACTCAAGTCCTGGATCAATTGCTTACTCATCCCGTGTTACCAGCTGCAAGATTTGGGGGCATTGGGGAAATTAACAGGTGGCACATGCTCCACTGCTCCACTACCCCAAGCAAATACTTCCAAACTTACTATTGACGAGTAGCAATAGCTTGAAACCGGCTACTCTTTGGACCAGATTGATGGTACCATCCGCGTTGGCCAGCTTTGACATGAGCTCATCGGCTCTCTCCCATACTCCCATCCCATCCCATAAAGAGAAAGATCTGCAGCTACCACCGGGAGTTGGAAGCTTTGGCTGCAAGTGGAGACTTGCCGGCGCCACCATCCTGATGGGTGGTGGAACTCCGCCGCATCTGACCTGCTTGCACAGCAAGCGCGCCAGGTGGACGCGCGGGTTCAACATGACCAATCCTCTTAGGGTCACTTATGGACCAAGGTGGTCAGTGGAAGATATGCCCAAGCCAAAATGGCTGTGGCAAGGCTACAGCTGAGCAGCCTGATCTCCTAACCTCCAACTGTTCCAATCCTTAATCATTGTTTTTGCACGCGAGCTTTTCTAAGGTCACATCAATAAAATGGAGGCACCGACAATCGACAATTGCTCAAAACAACAACAGAACATTAGCCAATTGCATGCTAACCATCCCTTGCCTCTGAACCCTCCAGCATAGCCAGCAGGTGTTTGGTGACCTCATGGTCGCAGGCTTCCCATGGGAACCTATGCCCAGGCAACAGGGTTGGTCTCCACACTCCTTCTCTTGGATACTGCAACTTGGACTTGTGAATTGGGACCTTAAAATGTACAAATAGGTGCAGCATGGTACAGTATGTAACATGGGGATTGTGTGTTTTTTTATGTTCCTCTCTCTCTCTCTCTCTCATCTTGCATATCATATCACATAATTTTGTGTTACATGCTTGCTTTAGGGTACATGGTCACCGCCAGCAACATTCTCCAACCCACACATTAGGAGCTGGGCCAATACGTCCACTTGACATCTGTGGAGGATCTCCTGCCATTCAACTTGGAACGATATGGGGGAGGGGGAAGTCAGGCTGGAAGTGTTGAATCCAATATGGGCATTGCATGGTATGGTAAGGGCATTTTTTTGGTCCGAATTGGGTAGGTCGGGCAGATTGAAAACCGATCATGGGAATAAGATGGAATAACATGGAATAACACAATAATCAGGGGATCCCAACACCTCTTGAATTCTGACCCGGAGCTCGATGCTTGGATGATTGTTTGGGGCTGTGCGAGGCTTCGACCGACAAACATGAATCAACTCTAAAGACCGAATGGACAATGCAAGAGACAGGAAAAAAAGGAGAAAGATAAATGAATCAATGCCACTATCTCTTCCACTTGACACTGACTAGTTGGTAGTTTCAATGTGTTTCAACTCATCTCGCAAGTCTACTTCATTATCCGTCATATTCTGTTGTCATCCATCACCCATCATCCTCCATCATCATCACAGGATGGGATCATAAAACCGCCAAGCAAAGTGTGCGCCGCTCCTCCAAGTAACTTCGACTCACCTTGCCACCAGCCTCAGGGGATGTCAAGGGTACATCCAATCCCAGGTCAGTTGATGATGCATTGGACAAGTCTTATGGTGCCACCAGTCCTTATGGTGCCAAATTCTCATATCATTCCGATGGTGCCACGATGTCTTGCGGAGTTGCGATCAGAGAGCAGTTTGTTCGGCGCATGCCTTTCCCTATGGCCTCCATGTGTATGAAGCTTACAAAAAAAGGAAATAAAAACGATCCTCAGGCAGGTAAACAAATCACACAAACAGAGCCCTACAACATTGGCCAACCTCAGATTGAAGGATATTAGCAAATCGAATTATACCAAATCTATCACAATATCCGGGCCGGATTTGCCTTTAAAATCCACACCAAAAAAATGTACAAAGAAAAACAACATTGAAACCAACCCCCAGTGGTTTGTCACACAAAAACTGCCGAGAGACCAAAGTCATGATGCATTCTGCGACGCGGCGCCAAACCGTTCCAGCCCTGGTGGTGACAATGGATCTGGAAGAGCAGTGCCTATATGCCCCATGGGTCAACATAGGATGTCTACCATTGTTTACCAGCTTGCTTACCCAACGGCCTCATGTAAACAAATACAGTAGATCATAGACACAGTATGGGGATGTATGGGGGATATTCAACTATATGATGCAATTTATTGTTACATATAGAACCCAAACATCGATGCAAACAAGTAGGCCTTGATTGACACAAATAAGCCAGCAACCACAATTCCCGGCAAATGGACACAAAGTCATTGGCAGTAACAAGAATTCCTGGTAGATGGACACGAAGTCATTGACTTGCCCCGTATTTCTTCATGCAAAAATAAAATCAAATCATGAACAGGCAAATCCCTGGAAGGACACATTGGATCTCACTCTCCGACTGCAATTTGTTTAGTCAGATTAAACCACCCAATTCTCCCAGCTTCAGCCGTAAGCCCATCATTTTTGGGCTTCCCCGGCAGGGCCGACTTCACCAAGACCTTCAGGATGCCCTTGGAGAGCACGTCACTCCGCTCCTCCTTATCCAGCCTCGGGTGCGCTACAAAGGGATGGAAACCCCCGGTGTTTCATGGGGAACACCAACGGTTAAAACAATGTCTTTGTAGGTTGTTCGCTTTAATTGTCGCAAATGTGTGATGTCAGCATGTCTATCTATTCTGCCTATACCTATATATACATATATAGATACATATACATATATATATAATTATATATATATATGCATTTAGCTACCTCTTGAAGCTAAATGTCTGACGATTAAGCCATCCAGTCATGCATTTAAAACAGCCTTTCAAAGTCTCTATTCTGTCAATCGCATGACCATTGATGGGTGGGTGTCCAACAACAAGTATGAATCACTATGTGCTAAGGTTGCCTTCCGTCCCAATTTGATCCTGAGATTGCCTCTTCAAATTGCTCACACCTTTCTATCTTAGCTGCCAGTGGTTGGTTGAGAAGAACACCATCAACACCTCACTGTTTCTCATGTGGAACCCCAAACCTGCCAATTCATGTTAGCAGAATCACCTGTCTAACCCATTTCTTGGGGTTTCTACCTTCGACTTCAGGGCTATCAACTGAGTTCCAGCCCATCGTCCCCCTGCCCAAGGCGCTTCTTCAACACCTCCATGGGCATGGCCCCACCCTCCAGCAGCTCTTTCACTGTGCCGAGGGTCCTGAGATACGGTGCTGTTCTGCCAGGCTTTAACAAGATCCTCAACCAAAACTGGATGGTGGTTTCAACACCTCTGAAAAAATTCAGTAAAATGGGAGTATTGTTCCCAATATCTGGGGAAAAAATGTTCCAAAGCACCAATCAGAAAATAGTAAGACTTGATTGATTTGGCTGGGTATAACCCCAAGGCCCAAGGGTGGCACTCTCACTTAGATTCCATGAAATTTGCAGGTCAGTGCCCGCGAAGGTTTGGTTGAACACGTTGATTCCCCTAAAAGTGGCAGAGCCGCTACTAATTTGAATGCAACCCTGTTGGGCTGAGATATGCGTTCTTTTTAACAAGCACGGGTCTGTACCCGGACATGGCTATGGGATGCTTTGGGTCATGGGTCATAACTGGACCAAAGAGTCCCAAAAGAAAAGTGAATATTAATATTCGATCCCATCCCACTTATAGATATTATAGTAGTTATTATAATCATATTCATATAAATATTAATATTAATTACCATCCCAAAAGATGGAATAGTATGGAATCTGAGTAATTAATGTTCCATCCCACTGTTGATCCATACCTCCCAGACTTGGTAGATGGTGCTGTAGCCCCCGGAAGCCCCCGAGATTCTGGGGATTCAATCCTCCATGAAAAATCGCCATGAAAACCCACCGTAAATCACTATGAATCACCATGTTTTGTTCATGAAATATATGAAATCTCCATGTTCTTGTCATTTTTCTAGGATTCAATTAATTCAATGGAGATTTCATCAACAAACCATGGGGATTTTCACCATTTCAATCCTTCTCAAGGGATTTCGACCGGTTTTCAATCCACCAAAGCGTCTGCTCTCTCCGCGTCTCCACCGCCGCCGCCAAGACAGAGACGCCGCGGCGATCGGTGGCCTGGCAGCTGTGGAATCCACCACAGGAAGGGGTTGATCTGATTTGAGATTCGTCAATATGGGGTTTAGTATGTTTTAGTACGGATATGTATTGTATGGATTAAAGATAGTTTTAGTATGATGCCATGTGGCTAATATAGTGTTGTCTTATGGTATTTGTATGCTTTTAGGGTTTAAAGCTATTTTAAATGTTGTTTTAAATGGCAAATATGGTGTGTTTTTGCATGTTTAGATGGTTCTGACATGGATTTAGTGCGGTTTTAACTAATTTTTGTTTGTTGTTTAATGTCACCCCAGCTCGTAGTTGGGGTTTCATAGCACCCAGCTCAAAAAGGGCACCATGGCAGCACGGTTTCAATACGATTTCCATTGACCCGTCCTTGATTTCCACCACAGGGTGGTGCCCCATAGTTAGCTAAGTTGGTTTATAAGTCCAATAACTATGGTGTTTATAGGTCATATATCCATAGTTAATGGTATTATAAACCATTTATAACTTGGGGGGGCACCACCTTGCATTCTGATTTCAACTGATGTTTCACACGCACAAAACGGTATTCCCATGTATTCCCCTGCTGCATCAGCATGAGATGATGCACCCGGCCTCCGGGTCACTGCGGAAATGCAGCAACTGCCTCGGGATGAGGGTTGTTGCTGGGAGGATTCAATCGATTTAAAGGATATTTGACTAGGAATACTAAGGAAACCATGATTTCTGAATGGTTTTGACATGTTTTTGACCCCCAAACATGTGGTTACTGAATGTTACTGATTCCACCACATGCCTAAGCTTAAATAGCATGCAACTCAAAGTGATCCTGAATGCATTGGTCCATGCTTCATTGCAAGGAAGGACTTGGGGGATCGTCTGGCCGATTCTCATTGCTGCTTCAAGTGCGCCTTCGTCGTGCCACACCCAGGGCATGAGTGTCCGTAAAGAACGCATCGAGGAGCACCCGAATGTAATGGGCCATTGTATGGTAAAAAAAAGGGCGCTCGTCGTGAGCAGGGGAGCAACGTGGTGTTGCCCAGCAAAAGGGACAGACCATCAGCCCTAGCTGACGCCGTCACGAATGGTGCTTTCACATGCTTTCACAGCCCCAAAATGCGCCTCCATTACGCATTCCTCTCGTGCCTCAGCACGGAGGGGACCTCCGATGGCCAGTGGACCAGCACGCAAAGCCAAGATAGCACATTGTTCATGGTCTGCTTCGGCAAGAAAATCGCGGAGCATTTCAAATCCATGGCAGAGTTGTTTTGGAATGGTTTTGACTTTTTGAAGTCCAAACACATGGTTACTGATGGTTACTGATGGTTACTGATGGTTACTGATGGTTACTGATGGTTGCTGATGGTTACTGATGGTTACTGATGGTTACTGATGGTTACTGATGGTTACTGATGGTTACTGATGGTTACTGATGGTTACTGATGGTTACTGATGGTGCTGATGGTTGCTGATGGTTGCTGATGGTTGCTGATGGTTACTGATGGTTACTGATGGTTACTGATGGTTACTGATGGTTACTGATGGTTACTGATGGTTACTGATGGTTGCTGATGGTTGCTGATGGTTGCTGATGGTTGCTGATGGTTGCTGATGGTTGCTGATGGTGGCTACTGATGGTTACTGATGGTTACTGATGGTTACTGATGGTTACTGATGGTTGCTGATGGTTACTGATGGTTGCTGATGGTTGCTGATGGTTACTGATGGTTGCTGATGGTTACTGATGGTTGCTGATGGTTACTGATGGTTACTGATGGTTACTGATGGTTACTGATGGTTACTGATGGTTGCTGATGGTTGCTGATGGTTGCTGATGGTTGCTGATGGTTGCTGATGGTTACTGATGGTTACTGATGGTTACTGATGGTTACTGATGGTTGCTGATGGTTACTGATGGTTACTGATGGTTACTGATGGTTACTGATGGTTACTGATGGTTACTGATGGTTACTGATGGTTACTGATGGTTACTGATGGTTACTGATGGTTACTGATGGTGATGGCTGATGGTTGCTGATGGCTGATGGTTACTGATGGTTGCTGATGGTTACTGATGGTTACTGATGGTTACTGATGGTTACTGATGGTTACTGACTGATGGTTGATGGTTGCTGATGGTTGCTGATGGTTGCTGATGGTTGCTGATGGTTGCTGATGGTTGCTGATGGTTGCTGATGGTTACTGATGGTTACTGATGGTTACTGATGGTTACTGATGTTACTGATGGTTACTGGTTGATGGTTACTGATGGTTGCTGATGGTTGCTGATGGTTGCTGATGGTTGGTTGCTGATGGTTGCTGATGGTTACTGATGGTTACTGATGGTTGCTGATGGTTACTGATGGTTACTGATGGTTACTGATGGTTTGATGGTTGCTGATGGTTACTGATGGTTGCTGATGGTTGCTGATGGTTGCTGATGGTTGCTGATGGTTGCTGATGGTTACTGATGGTTACTGATGGTTGCTGACTGATGGTTGCTGATGGTTGCTGATGGTTACTGATGGTTACTGATGGTTACTGATGGTTACTGATGGTTACTGATGGTTACTGATGGTTACTGATGGTTACTGATGGTTACTGATGGTTACTGATGGTTACTGATGGTTGCTGATGGTTACTGATGGTTGCTGATGGTTACTGATGGTTGCTGATGGTTACTGATGGTTACTGATGGTTACTGATGGTTACTGATGGTTACTGATGGTTGCTGATGGTTGCTGATGGTTGCTGATGGTTGCTGATGGTTGCTGATGGTTACTGATGGTTACTGATGGTTACTGATGGTTACTGATGGTTACTGATGGTTACTGATGGTTACTGATGGTTACTGATGGTTACTGATGGTTACTGATGGTTGCTGATGGTTACTGATGGTTACTGATGGTTGCTGATGGTTACTGATGGTTACTGATGGTTACTGATGGTTACTGATGGTTACTGATGGTTACTGATGGTTGCTGATGGTTACTGATTACACCCATGCCTAAGCTTAGATACCCTACAAAAGTCATTACCAAGGTGGCAGGAGGTCGTTATTCTCCTCTCATATATAGTCCATCCTGTATCCTGAACTAAAGGTTTATCATCCAGAACACGTAGGCACTTACAAGGATACACATTCACCCACGTCAAGACATGTAATTCTTTGGGGGGTGCCCTAAAAAGGCTTCATTTACATTGAGGTCGCGCTGAGGTCGTTTACACATCAATGATTTTTGTTTGTGAAAAGAATATGGTACCTCAAACTCATCCAAATTCCAGTGGTTTCAAATCCCATCCTCCCCACTGACATAGTGGTGTAAAACTCCTACAGTCTAGAAGAGTCTAGACACTCCCCCAGGTAAAGCATGGTTTACTTTCCGGCGCAGTTGAATTCCAAATGGGTACAATACCATGGTGAGCAAAACCACCATGTTTGTTGGGATATGGTCCCTTAAAATCCCCTAACAATCACCTCAAATCCCTGGGACAGTTTTGGGTTTGAACTATTTTTGGGTATATTTCTATCCCGTAAAAATCACCCAGTTCAAACCCCAGATGAACAGCTCACCAAGGCGCTGCACCGCCTTGCGATCTGCCCGGCTGGCGGCCAGCCACAGGGGCGTGCGGCCCTGGTGATCCTGGGCCTGGCTGGAGCGGGACGGCTCACTAAGCCTACAATGCTGGGGCCAGAGATTGTCAGCTAAGTTGATGTATATCCATTATAGCTGACAGAGCTAGAGTTTATGGCATGTATATATATATACATAATATACATAATATACATAATATACATAATTAATTGATTTGGTTTTATCAACCAATTGATAACTGACGGGAACCACCTTGAAAAGATGTATTGTCATTGGACAGGTACGGGCAATACACATCTACATACCCACTTAGGTGGCCTCAAGAAGCAACCCCTCCAGTCATTTTTTCCCAGCTCGGGCTCTGTGGGTCACGCATCTCACGCGGCCACCAGGGGCTTGGGAGGTTCCCGGAAGTGGGACAGGACTTTCTTCAGCAGAGCAGGCACCTGGAAAGTCACAGATTGGCGGGTGATTCTTGGTCTGAATGGTACAGAATGCCATCTAGGACTAATTTTCAACCATTTCTGGCGTTGGCGTGTGATTCTTGGTCCGAACCATCCCCTTATGGCAAGGTGGAGCTAAAGTTTGCTATGAAACAGAGACATAATTATGTGGGTAGATGCGGCACAAACATGGGCACCAAGGAACCATTCCAACATTGGTAAACTATTTGGCGCCCACAATTTACGTAGTGGTTTCACGAGCTTCCTTAAATCAAAAGTTTTGGTGGCTACTCCACCATTGCTGGTATCTTTTTTCTGACCTGTTTTCACCTGATTATTAGGCATATCAGTTGTTTACCCATGACTCTCGAGACAACGATGGCGGCAATATGGCTGCACCTTCTTCACAGGAGCTACCGAGACTTTCTGCATGTCGCGGAAGAAAGCGCCACCTTTCTTCCTCGGAATTGGCAGCTACAATATGCTACAATCATGAAAGTTGAGCATGCTGCAACCTGGGAATTGTTCCACTGATTGTATTTTCTTTGATACTCTGCCACCCTTTATGCCCAAAAAAACGCAATCATTACTGAACTCTCCCACGCAATCAAGGTTTACACAGTGAGCTGGAGATATGATCCTCTATGCCCATTCACCAACTATGTTCACCACGCTTGACTCAACAAACAAAAGCACCAACTTCTTCCAAAGCATCCCATTTTGAACTTATCATTGTAGTTCTCCCTTAATACCAGGGAAAACAAAACATTATACCACCTATATATGCCACCTGTGTATATAATATACTTGTTTGGGTCAAATCCTGATTCGGTACGTCCGCAAATCTGGGCCCAGCATCAAGCTCAGCTCCAGTTCTTTCACCGCACTTTGCAGCTTCTGGGACTTGCCCGTCAGCGCCTTCAGCGACGCCTGCGTGCTTTCCTGGGCGGCGGCAGATATGACCTTCATGGCCTGTCCTTGTTAAATCCTGCACCAGTTGGCAACCGTTAGGTAACTATGAAACATTGTAAATAATGGGATTATAAGGGGATAAACCATATACCAACTGGTGCAGGATTTCTTCCATCCACTGTATGTCAATATGCTTCCAGTATCTTCCAGTTATGTAAAACCATGAAGGACTAAACTACCCATCGAATGATTGGGGGTTGCCAGTTTGTGCTGGGTTCGACCCATGCGTTGGCCTTGTTAGCTGCCGTGAGTCTTTGGTCTTCGCTACAAATGACATAATCAGTTTCCCTTTGAATCATGAGATCTTGCTGAATCATGCTGTTGCCATTCAATTCTTATGACTATTACATTATTACTATGTATCAAATATATTACATGATAATCAGCCACCATGTGTTTAACCAATACCCTCTAGTTATTTAACATAGCCATGGTTGTGCCATGGCCCATAGAAATAGATGGTTTACCTATTAATAGCATGGTGATTTTCCATGGCTATGTTAAGTAACCAGGTGGTAATTGATCCTTGGTTCTTCCTAGCCAAAAAAAAACTGAAACTCCAAGACTCCAACTCCTTGGTGAGGACTTCCTTCTCTTGCACCAACGCCTCAAGCGTTGGAAAAAGTCAAGGAAAGGGGATGGTTTGATGCTGATGCTGCAAAACATATGGGATAAGATCTTGAAGACATGGGCAGATTCCTAGCACTTGCATTTTCTGGGGTCACTTTGGATGTGTTTGCTGCTGTCTTCAGCCAGCATTGTGGAGATTTAATTGTCTGCACGTGCTGGGGAAACGTTTGGAACTTATTTCAGTTTGCAACCAAACTGGGGGTTGGATGATTTCATATGCTGCAAAATCGCAAGAATCAGAGGTGAAACGAAAGACTCACAATCACCATCAACAACCATAGCCACACATTCATTCGACATATCATTATTTCTGCTCATAAAGGTAGCACAACTACCACACAAACCCTGTGTTCCACCACCTCCCGCCACCCGCTGCCTGATGACGTTCCTTGCCTGCTTCCAGGCTCTGGTGGAACATCTTCCTGCAATTAAGGGGGATGAATGCAAACGAACAACGTGAAGAAAATATGGCAAGCTTTGGAGGTATACTTACCAATGAAATTGCACATATATATTATATATGGTTGAAATCATTATGCAAACATACCCCATGCATACCACTTGAACACATCATCTGTAAGGGTAGTAACATTGCACTTTTGTAAACGCATGGGCTGGGGCTAGAAAAGTAGCCCTGCGATCTGCGCCGAGCTGCTTTAAGTTGCTCTTGATCTCGGTCTCTGCCTTGTGCAACTTCTTCAAGTCCTCCACGTGCCATGCTGCCGTTGTCGAAGGCACAATGCGTGCTTCAAGTTCAAGTAACATGCCATGTTTGACAGGACTCATTCAGATCATATCACCACCGGTGTATCATATTTTTTCTCCCAGATTGTAGGCTTTCTATGGCTTTCTCAGTTCTATCCCATGACCCTTCAACCTTTAAATATGTTTAATATAGCCATCTTCAGATCGCTGTCCTCCGTCAGCAGATTGATGATCTGATTGTCCTCCTTGTTCGGCTGCACCACTTCCTGGGCCGAAACTGCTTCAACGGGTGTTTTTGTATGGCCGGACCATCCAGCTTAGCTTTGTTGGTCTAAGCTCCTCATGCCCATTTGATATTTGATTTTAGCCAATATTACTTCACATCCTTTGATGTTAATATTAAGATTAATTAATTAACTGGTTGGTGGTTTGAACCCCTCTGAAAAATATGAAAGTCAGTTGGGATTATTATTCCCAGTATATGAAAAAAAATAAAACATGCTCCAAACCACCAACCAGTTAAGATCTATTCAAATCTCGAATGACATAGAGTTTCCCCTCCACATCCACCATCCCTTACCCTCACCTCCAGCGACTTCTCCGGCTGCGCCACCGCCTCCAGCGCTGCCGGCGTCGCCTCAGCGTCCTCGTCGAGGCCCTGGGTGACGTCCAACTTGGCCACGGTGGCGCCGCGGCCGAGGAAGGTCTTGGCGTCCTTGGGCGAGGCGGTGGTGAAGGGCGGGGGGGACCTTAAAAGACGACCTCCACTAAGACTACTGGATTTTTTTGGAAAAAATGGCCTGAAATGGAAAAACCAATGATTTTTATTGCCTCTATCTTCTTGGAAAAATTGGTGTGGAGGCAGACTTTCTCGTTTTTTGTGGAAATTTGTAGCTGGAACTGCACTTCCAAGAAGCCTTCACCAAGCTTTGAGCCAAGGTGCCAACACAGCTGGGCGGCGCACGCGAGACACTTCCAGGAAGGAGATTCCATCGACCTCGAAGGTGGTGATGACAAGTCCCCAGCTAGAAAGCTGACATGACATCTGCAAGAAATTTGGATGTTTCTTGGGACATTTGGAATTCGGCTCTATCCCCTTTTGGAACTAGTCTTCAGCTTTCACCTGTGAATTGATTTGTTTAAGCGTCATATGACAACACCTCAGCTTCAGAGCCACCTCTTCGGTGGCATCCTCTGCCTCTTGCGCTTCCTTCAGAGGGTCCTTGTCCTCCTGCTGCAGGAATTTCTCACCTGCATTCAGCACAACTCACAACCAGCAATGCCTCAAAAACTAGAGGCAAATAGCATAAAAACATATAAAAACACAGTATCAGACCACACAAGCCTCACCTTGACCCTGGAGATTAAGAAACAAACACACAAACAAACAAAAAGACGCGAAACAAGTTACTCATTGATTTTGTCATCCAACTATTATTGGCTTTAAAAAACAGAACGATTGAAGTTTGACGTATTTTGGATATTTTTGGATATGGCCTCTATCCCCCTAATTGGATAATACGTAATCCTGGCACAGCCACAACCATCCAATAAACTGTAGATAGCTTTTCTTTTTCAATGATTCACCGCAAACTTAATTACTGTTGAATGTCGATAGCAAGTAAATCAGTTTGTTTTGCAATTGAATCATAAATCAGAAGCCAACCAAAACCGTCCAAATCATTGTTTTTCAATGATTAACCTCAAACTGTGTTGACGTTGTTGTCTGGTTGGTGGTATACCTACCCCTCTCACTTGGGATGATGACATTCCCAATATATTAATGGAAAAATAATCCGAATGTTCCAAACCACCAAGCAGCAACAATGGAATCATGGAAAATCACCATAGAAATAGTGAATTTTCCCATGAAACATGGTGATTTTCCCATGAAAAATTGTGATTTTCCCATGAAAAATAGTGAATTTTCCCATGAACAATGGTGATTTTCCCATGAACAATTGTTATTTTCCATGAAACCATCCCATCTCCCCAACCTCCTCCCGGCCCTCCCGTTGTGTTCCCATCCTGCCGCGCCTCGGGCCATCTGCTGCTGCAGCGCCTGGATCTCCTGGCGCCGGAAGCGCACCAGCGCCTGCTGCTTTGAGACCTGGCGATGAAACATCAGACGTTGATCTGTTGTGATTTATATATGTTTATATGATTGAAAATTGCTGTAATTAAGTGTATATATATAGACAGATAATATAAATAGTAAACTTAGTAAATATTTATTCATGACATCACACTGTTTTGATGGTCTGTAACATTCTTTTATCAGACTTTGTTGATCTGTTTTGTGACCGTCCTTTGTTCGAAAAAAAAAGTGACGATGAGTGACGACAATTGAATCAAAATTTCATGAACATTTACGAATTGGAGATACATCGGCCGAATGTTCAAGGAAAATAGACATGATGGTCGTATGATACTACTGTATGTGATATTTATCGCAACAGTTTTCCCCCCAAAGTGGGTGCAATATCCTACCAAGTCCAAAACACTTAGAGTTACAATACATGTGGGTATGGGTCCAAAATGCTTGCCTCAAAAATTGGCAGGTTGAATGCCAAAACCAACGGGTATATTATTCAGGGGTCTCAATTTTTGACCCAGCCCCCAAATCAAATATACATTGCCTTCTGAGGCAGCATTTGGGCTATGATTTGGGGTGTTGACTACCTTCTGGAGAAGTATTTGGATTAGATAGTTCGATAATGTTAGATAGTTAGAGAGTTAGCTAGTTAGATAGTTAGACATACAAACAGATAGACAAACAAAATCAAACAAAGATATTATGATATATTCATGTCATCTCATGTTCATGGTTGATTTATTGAATCTGCACAACATGCCCCACATCCACAGCTTCAGCGCTGTCCACGCAACCTGCTTCTGCATCTCCTCGCTCTGCTGCCGGGCCGTCAGAATCTCCCGGGCCAAGTGAGCGTTGCTGCGCACCAAGACCTGCGTCTTGGACGGGTATGATGGGGAACGTAACACCTCAAAATAATGTGGCTATGAGTCAAAACCAAACGGCACCCGGATGGTACCCAAAAATAGCTGGCTATAATGGATGCGTATTCTGCCAAATATGGCAGTAATAGGTTTTGATCCATCCACACATCCAGCTACAACTGGAAAGAATGGCCAGCCGCTAGCCAACCTTCCAAAATCTGGAAAATCTGAATGGAGATATTCGCAAATTTTGATCTGCAGAATCGATGCAGTGAGAGCCATAGAGGAATTCAAAGGAGAAATCTTGATTGAGGTAACAGGATCGAAGCCCAAGTGCTGATGCAGATTTACTTACCTCTGCGTGATATTCTTACAGCTCTACAACCTCCGAGGGACAGACTTGCTAACTTGTGGATCTGATTTCTTTGGTTTTCCCTCTGCAATCCAATTCCAACTCGGTACAGCTGGGCCCAAAATAATCCACAATCCAAAGGATCATGTATGAGAAGAAAATCCTTATCTGCCTTATCATGTTTAGAAGATCTGCCATGGCATAATTTAGGCAGATATTAGGAGAACAGTTATCTGTCTTATCTGCAAAATGTCTGCAAGTTGGATATCCTATGGCATCCCTAACTTTTGGACAACGGCGGCGCAAGGGATGAGGGTTTCAGCCTGATTGTTCTTCTCCTGCTCCTGCAGTTTGGCGTCATACTTGGCTGTCCTTGGCAGCGCAAGGCTGGAGGAAATCTTCGGGCATAGCCTCTGGTAAAGTAACAGTTTGTTTAATGGAAAATGGACCATTCAGAGATGGAAAATGGACCATTTAGTTCGATGATTTACCATGATTTACCTACTAAAATTGTGATTTTCTATAGTTTGTTGTATGTTTACCAGAGGGTAGATCATGAACCACAAGAAGTGCGAATGATCACAGAAACTTGTTTTTCTGCGGGGAACTCCACCCATCACCAGCGCCCTGTTGTTGAGCATCTCTCCTGTGACCAATGGTGAGGTAAACCAGCACTTTTAGTGAGGTCAGTGAGTGAGGGCACTATACATTTGTTTGGACTTTGAACCCGCGTCATTTCATGGATAAATAGGATATATTTCAACACGTACCAAAACTATTCAAAACTACACACAGCCACGATCTGAAGATAGATCCATTGCATTTCTTGAGGGGCTCCATGGGGCCCCACCATTTTTGCCCGGGTTCGAACATATTCACATTTTTTGGCTTGTTGGAGTCATAATCGTATTTTAACAATTCTGGCTGTAAGATTTGGTTGGTTGGTTATCCCCCTGTGCAAGAAGATCCTTTTTGCAAAGAGGGGTGGGGTGAGTTTGGCTATACCATTTTTATACCCATGTCTTGATATTTTATACTATCATCATTTAAAATCATTTATCTGTTGTTTCGCTTGTATGCTAGTGGCTACGTTTTTGCTTAAAAATCTATACTGACCTGCAAAAATCTATAAAAATCTACAAAAATCACCATCGTTTTTGTTCAACCCTCCATTTTTGTTGCTTAATAAAAATCTGGATTTTCCCCGTTGGCGCCGAGGATCAGCTCCGCGATGTGCTGCCGACTCTGACTCTGCACCTTCGCCAGGTGATCGCTGAAGCTGTCGACGCTGCTGCTCTGTACCTGGCACTGGAGGCGCCCGCAGAGGTGCTCACTGGTTAAGTTTACCCTCTGGTAAACTAACATAGCTATGGAAAATCACAATTTTTAATGGGAAAACTCACTATAAATGGGCCATTTCAATAGCTATGTTAAATTACCGGAGGGTAAGGAATCAAAAGAACTGGAAACCATAGTCTTTACCCGGTTTCCGGCAGATTTTCCCTTCAACCAGCTCTGGAAGAGGAAATGAGTCAGAAAGCAATGCTTTTTGGGAACCGATTGAAGCATGGTTACACTCCTCTTGAAACCCTGTGAGAGCTTATGCAAACCAAGTCCAACAACCACTGATCACCATATTTCGGGAAATGCTTAGCCATAATTTCACCGCTAAAAAACACACGATGCCTCATAGGTACGGTACATCATTCATTCTCACATTCGTTGAACTCAATGGGCCATCTACACACTGCAAACTGCAACTACCAGATGTTATATCCCAGGAAATTTCCCATTATTCGTGACATTCCAAGTAGAATCTCCACTGCTTCTACTATTGCCCATAGGATCCATGTATGCTATATATGGTAACATTTACCATCAATATACCCCCAATGTTAGTATATATACCATACATGGATCCTATGGGTTGTTGGTTGAAATAGCCGTTAAATTACCAGTGTCATCTGCAGCATCGCCCTGCCCAGGGCACGTCCAACTCAACACTCGCCAAATGCTCTGCGAAACCTTTGCCCCCCGCGAAGTTCAGGTCCTGCTTCACGTCCTGCGAAAAGGTGATTTCTACCCGGTAGCTGTGACAAATCTGAAGCGCTTTGGGAATGTTCGGTGAGATGATGTGAGATGGGATCCCCACTAAATCACAGAAATTCACAAATGGAGACTGCAAGCGACTGGATGCAACTGGCAAATATGTTGTCCCAAACAAGACGCAAAAAGGTTGCTTCAGCTTGGACATTTGATGACATTTGCTCCGCACTTTGGAGGGGTATGGTGCTCACCATCAACATCCCACCCCTGACACTGCTCCACAGGCGGCCGTGTCCTGATACTTCTCCAGCAAAGTGTCCGCGTCTGGCAAGTGTGGCATGCCATCGGGCCCTGCATTAAAGACCTGAAGATCACAGGGATGAGTAATGGGTTGATTACTGTGGGTTGATGTGAAGGAACTATGGTGAAGCGATGATGGTCCATTTATCTTGATTTATGATGCTAGTTCAAGGTATAGTAATCAAACTATGCTCAATTCACGCGGGTTGATTGATGACGATATTTAACTGATGACTAGTCACTGGTTCATTCACTAGTGGTCAAACTGTGCTGAGTAATTCATGGCTAGTCATAGATTATTCGCTCATGTTACTAGAACGAATTCGATCTTGGCCAATGTCAACCCCATGTCAGGGAATGGGCACCCACCAATACGCGACTCATTCATACAGCATACCCTCCGGAATTTAACATAGCTGCTATTGAACATGTACCTTTTATAGTTGATTTACCTGCTAAACATGGTGATTTTTCATAACTTCTGTATGTTTACCACAGGGTACGCTTTGCCACATCACTTCGTGCATACAGGCCTGACAATGCCCATTTCTGGCAATACTGGGGATGATCTACTTGAGGGCGCATCCTACTTCGTAAGCGGCTAATAACTATGTTATAACAAAACAGTATCTGGAATATCCTCAGTGGTAACCGGTCAGTAGATTTCATATAGACACGTAATTGCCACTTGCTAAATCTTTCTAACTGGGGTGCACCTTCACCAAGTGCATCAAACATTAACCATCCCCAAATTCGCCAGAAATGGGGCGTATAATTATGGGCGTATAAACCATCCTCCACATGGCAGGTTGATGGCATCGTGTTTGCCACATTTACCCCTCCTGAAATTTTCAGCACCTTGGGCACTTTCGGCAGCTGCTGCGTTTCCAGCGCCGCCGCCGCCACCAGCAGCGGCAGCAGCCGCTTCATTGCCGCGCCGGCGGGGCCGCGGCGCCGCTACGGCGCTAAGCCAGGCGGCAACGGGGCAGGGCACAAGTAGGATTTAATCAATATTACTTCGATATAGATGATCAAGCATGATTTTTAGTGGAATGTAGGCATTTCAAGATCTAGAATCTATGAAAAGGGATTTGTTGGTTAATGCACATTATTCTCGACAAGTAAATCGCTGAGCAGGATATACTTGCAGTAGTGTACTACGTCATATAGGACGGGAACAATTTACCATCACCATGGTCATAGTTAATCATTGTTAACGCATCTCAATGCAAACTCTCAGATGACCCACCAAAACGGAGGGTTTTCATTGTCAATCTTGATGTTTTTTTCCTGAGGAATTCTCCACCTTGTTGGGGTTCAAAAACAACTGCCATTCTGCACCTGCCCTTCACCCTGTGAGCAGACCCTGCCTCCAGGGGCAAAAAGTCACTCAAACTCCAGCGACTCACCTGCCACAAATTTTGCCTTGTACCAGGTACTATTTACCTATTGAATCTATTGGCTGTTGGAGCTTACCCCACTATCCATCAAGATAAAACAAGCAAAGGAGCTTGAAACAGGGCCACGAAACCACCATTTGGCTCATCTTTCTCTGAAGTATGGCAGCTCAAAAGAATCTGAAACTCCACTCATGCTAAATCTGTGTAGGCTTTTTTGTTGCGGATATGCCAATGTCAGTGAATATCCCATAAGAACCATAGAATATAGAAACATGAAACATTTTGCTTTGGTATGGCTTGATTTCGATCCATGATAAGATCCACTTAGATGGGCCATGGGATTAACTAATTAACTGGTGAGTAACTGGGGCTAAATATAACCCCCAAACAATCCCAATGATTTCATCCATTTACTAACTACCCTCTGGTAAACATACAAAAAACTATGGAAAGATCCACCATTTTTCATGGAAAAATCCACTATAAATGGTGATTTTCCATAGTTATGTTAGATATGTTAGTTTACCAGAGGGTAGTTCACTAACAAACCATGGCCCATTAAGCAGTTGTCCATCGCATCGATCTCCGTCCACCTGCACATATGGAAGAAGATCTGAAACGAGTCGCAGCAGTCGAGCCGCATGCCTCGAGGCCGGAAAGGTTGAGCTGGATGTTTCACCAGGAAATCACCATGGAGGTACCAGGAAAATCACGATCTGATCATCGGTGATCAGGTCCAAAGGTCATGAATGGGAATAATAATGATCGATTCTGGATATTAATGGATATTAATGGGAATAATTATAGTTATTCTGGATATTAATGGGAATATGATTTGTGATATATCATGAATAACTCAATGTCACCTGTAAAACTGTTGCATGCAGTGCCAAAAAGAGCTGGGCCACTGGTGATTACTTTCCTCCATTCACCTCAAACATCATCAATCTTACATGAAGCAAAACAATATGACACTAAATGCATGTAAATGCCAATAACAACCCACACAATCAGTCGGTGTCCCTGGATTTATTTAAGCTTTATGAGTCTATATGTACAGCCGACAAGAAAATCGCAGCACCTATTGGGCACCTCGACGTGCCATCAATGGCCGATAAAACAATGAGATGTACCTGTGTTCGTCGCAATTTCTGTGTTCCACATCAAAGGGTGCACATCCCAATTGAAGCGCCATGTTCAACCTCATTGTTTGCTGGATGTCTCACCAGTATATCCATTGTCTTAAACCCATATTATATCACCATATACCACCAATAGATCCGATAGATTTTTGTTCAAGATTTTCCCAACCCCACCACTGTCAATGTTTCCAGGTGCCGACTCACACAGGCGGCGTGGAGCAAAGTTTGCCCCTCCTCTGATACTTTGCAGAGGTCCTGGCAGGACATCTACCCGGCCTGGTAGACCATCTATAAATGGTTAATCCATGGTTAATATATGGATAATCTATGGATAATCTATGGTTAATGGTTAATAGATACCCGAAATGGTAAACATACAAAAAGCTATTGAACATGACCATAGAAATAGAGGATGTTCCCATTGAAAATGGTGGATCTTTCCATAGTTATTTATGTGGCAGTTTACCAGAGGGTGCTGATTCCTTTGATGAAGGATGCAGCCAGAACTCCGCACCAAGGTTGGGTCCGCAAATTCTAAGCATACTTCACTCACCATAATTAACCAGTAATCAACAGCCATCATGAACCATGACTATGGCTATCATGAACCATTCATGAGCCATTTAATGGCCATTAATGACGATTTATGAACCATTTTTCATGGCCATAAAACCATTCCGTTCCACTCATCAACCATTGAAAAATCACTATTAATTATGATTATGGCCATATTCTGGCCCTAAACTTCTCCACAATCATAATTAATAATGGTTGGTTCTCCACTCCCACCGTAATAATTAGAACTCATCTCCTGCGGGTTATCAATGTATGCATAAGATATCTGGTTGGTGGTTTTTACCATCTTGAAAAATATTAGTCAATGGGAAGGATGACATCCCATATGTTATGGAAAAGTAAAATTCATGTTCCAAACCACCAACCAGATATCCTAAGATCACACACATCCCATATATGGAAAATAACAAAAAATGTTTGAAACCACCAACCAGATAATAATCATCTACAAATGGCATCAGGTTTCCATGCATAAGATCTGGGTAAATTATAATAATTCACTAACCTGAATTAAGGCCATTTGGGGATGATTTCCCTTATTAACCATGATTCCAGTGTCGCAGTGAGGTCGTTATACTGTAATTTACCCAGATAAGATATCCCAATTTTCACACCCCAGATCTCCGGCCTCGTATCTCACCTGTCCCACGCCCATCTGCTGCTGCCGCTTCCGCAGCGCGCAGCTCTCCTCGGGCGCCAGCCAGGCCCAGCGCCGCTGCCGTGTGGTGAAGGCGCCGCCGGTGGCGGCGGGCGCCGCGAGCGCCGCGAGGCGCAAGGTCCAACGGTGGTGACGGGTCCTGGGATGAAAAACCATGGGTTTTTACCATGGGAAAACCTGTGAGAAGTGGGTGAAAATCATTAAAAACATGGAACGCAGCCCATCTGATGAAGCGGGGTTCGTCTGATTTGGGAGTGATTTGAAGAAAAATCTAAGAAAACAATCTGAAAAAAAACATGGGTTGGTGTGTGCTCGTGGGAAGTTATGTTTTGAGCGAAAAATGTGGCAAACATAAATGAAGGTGAATATGAAAGAAAATTATGGAAAAGCGGGAACTCAATCCAATTCGGCAAAGGGAATTGGAGCCACAAAGGTAAGGAAATTGAGATGACATTGAGCTGCAAAGGTGAGGTTTGAAGTCTGAAACTCTGAAACCTGCAAACAATGTTTGGTAATGATGATAGTGACAGTGTGGATAAATCGGTAATTAAGCAGCTATACATAATATAGTTTCATAGACATGTTGCCCAAAGGAAAGGAATTTAAAAAAAAAAACGCCGTTGAAGCAAGAATAATGATGAAACACGATGAAACCCTGAGTAGCTTGGGGGGCAACCCAACCCTGAAGCTGCTGAACTCACACCACCGTGACGTAGCACGCAACACTCCAACTGAAGGATGTGAACATTGGTTACCTACCAAAATAGTCAGGTTATATAGTATAATAATTACATGTTGGCATTGTCAAACAAATCCATTTCCCAATCAATTGCACACATTAAATCACGGCTCAAAACTGTTTGGTGCATCGACGTGCATCCCAGTTAGCAAGTGGCTAATAACCATGTTCTAAGCCACCTAGTTGGTGGTATACCTACCCCTCTGAAAAATATGAGTTCGTCAGTTGGGACGATGACATTCCCATATATGGGAAAATAATGGAAAATAATCCATTCCATGGTTCCAGTCACCACCAATCAGTCACTTATATGGATACTTATATATACTTGTGGGATATCCCCAGCCAGATCAATGGCACTTATAAGCCACCAAGTCCGGCATCGTTTCCAGCATCATTTCCACCGTGCCAAGCAGCCAAAGACCCGGGAAGGACTGCGAAGGCCTGGCCGTATAGGATCCATGGTGCTGGTATATTAATGCTAACATAAAGGGGGTTTTGTTGATGGGATCCATGGAGCACCATATATAGCAGCACCATGGATCCTATGGGTTAAGAAAAAATGGGGGAATATGTCGGATAGCTTGGAATCGACAATTCAAGGCTTGTAGGACTGGATATCAATTTGATGATCCCTGCATGTTTTTTTACTCAAAAATAATGTTGTAGATTCATAGGCACGGGGGAATGTTGCCATGTCAGGTCGCTGCCACCTGAACTCGAGAGAGGACTCCGGCACCGCGAAGTTCTCCTGGCAAGGAAATGCATGGAATAGCTTGGAATCTAATGAGCAAAGATATCTCGAGAAATTTTAATAATTCACTGATCTGAAATAATGTGATTTGAGTATATTTGGGTATCAATCACCTTATTAACTATCATTCCAGTGACGTCGCAGTGAGGTCGCTATAATTTGCCCAGGGATGTGCAAAGACCATAGTACCGCTGGAAATTCCCAGCCTGCCAAATGCGTAAATGCTTAGACCACGAGTTGGTGCCATGAAATTGCTGAACAGAAATAACCCATCAAACTATGGATAATACTTATGCCAAAAACCCACTGGCTATTCTAATTCCAAACAGTTCTAAACCAACTTAGGGATTCACAAGAACATAGAAAAACCCTGATTTGTTTTTCCCAAAAAATGATGGTTTACAAGTTTACAACTTCATTTCACCCATGAAAAACATGAAAAACAGGGATCCAACTGGCCATGTTCAGACCATGCACCGCCAGCTGCGTCCTCATCCTCCACCAGCTCCGACAATTGCAGGGCCTCCAGCGCTTCATGCAGCCGCTGCAGCCAGGACTGGCCGTCTTTGGGGTCGAACCTCGCAGTGTACGGGATGTCACCAGGATTTCCTGTGTCAAACATGGCTAGCTGGGAAATCCCCAAACTAAATGCAGGTTTCTAGCTGGGAAAATCATCGAACAAATGGTGGAATTCACCAACAAAAGCAAAGGATAAAGGATGATAAATAAGTGATTTGACCAACAATAATCACAATTCTACCAAACCAACCTTGCCCACCCATGGATCCTATACTTCATATGTCTAACACGATCCCATAATGTAATATCAGAACTTGTTTTAAGATGTTTTAAGTGCCTACGTTTGATGGTCTAATCGCCATGTTATCTCGGTTCATCCTCCGGTAATCAAACAAGGACATGGACAATCCAGTTGTAGGCGATTTCCCGGCCAGCCACGTTTGATGACACCGGAGGGTGTATCCATTATCCCATGAATATCCCAACTGTTGTCCTTATGAAGCCATCTAAAACCATATATTAAACTGCCATTCAACCCTCATTATCCCATCAAATAATCCCAGAACCATATTGGATCCATGGTTTCCTTGGCAGCCAGGTAAGTTTAAACCTGTGGCCAATGCAGGCCTTTGCTCGCCCATGTCATGTATCAAACGTTCCCGTTTTATTAAGGCCCCATGGATCCCCATGGTTTCCTTGACGTTAGCCCAGATAAACCCATGGTATTCTGGCGTCTTGAACATAAACAAAACAACCAAGGCGCAGCCAAGTGGGCAAGCGATGCCGCAGCTGGGGGAAGACCCTGGATCAAGCCATGGGATTGAGAGGTTTTTTTCTGATAAAGTCCTGACATGTCCTGACACTGTTTATACTCACAAAATGTGGCAATTTATTGACTTGTTCTATCATGAATTGAAATCCCTGCTAGTTTTCATGGGGGTATCTATAATCGAGGTATACCCCTCTCTCTCTCTCTCTCTGCATATCGCTGTCAGGTCACCCTGCCCTAGCTGTGCTAGGAAGCCAGAAACAAGTAATGACAAAATCGAGGTATGCCATGGTATACCTGTTGTGAGACAAGTCTAGCTACATTCACATACTTCGTCTGCCAGCCAGTAATTCAGTTTTGTTTTATGCCTCCCGTTACAACTTGCCCGGAACAATCCATTCAGCGCTTGCCAACATCAGACCCATTTGAGCCATTTCCATATTTGGGGATGCTTACCAAATTGATCAACAAATGGATGCTACTATATAGTAACATGATGGCGCAATGATCTCAATGTGTCCAACATGATTCTCGATATGCCTTCATTTTTATGAATGATCCCCATATGACATCTGATATTATCGAGTATCAATGTCTGATATCAATTGGTCTGTTGATGGATTTGCTGGGTATTTTCGGATGCGTTCAATGATGGGATGCTAATGATCAATCGAATCCGTTCAATGATACTATATGATACTATCCATTTTAGGAGTCATTGATATCCAATCATCCATGGATATCAACAAATATCATTCAATATCCATTTGTCCGCAATCTGGGTATAATGGTATATGAATGACGCCTATGCAAGGTAGTGCCTCCCGGTTCTAAGTTGGTTTATAACCACCATGAACTACAGATCTATGTATCATAACTTGGCTTCGAAGCAAGTTTATGATACATAGCAAGTTTATGATACATACCCTCTGGTAAACTAACATAGCAATAGAAAATCACCATTTTTAATGGGAAAATCCACTATAAATGATCATTTTCTGTAGTTCATGGTGGTTGTAGCGGAGTTTTCTTCACCAACAACGAGCGCTTCCGAAGTGAAAAATCCAAGCGGCACTCGTCCATCCGCGCTGGCATCAAGGCTGTGCAGTTCCTGGGCAGCTGAGGGAAGATTTGATATGGTTTATACTGGAGATTTTAATGGGAAAACCATAGGAAAACCATAGGAAAATGGAGGTTGACCCAACCTGGTTATTGAACAGTTTGCCATGGAAAATGGCCCATAGAAATAGATGGATTACCTATTAGAAATGGTGATGTTCCATGGCTATGTTAAATAGCCAGATGATATATATAATATATATATATATTATATTACCCTGGAAGTCCAGGGACTCAAAAAGAACGTCCTCATGAAAATCCGTAGAAAGTGGATCAAAAAGGAACGTCCATGTAAAATCCTCATGATGTACCTTTTGAGGTCCCGGACCTCAAAAGGAACGTTGCTATAAACATCCTGTTGATGTACCTTTTGAGGTCCCAGACCTCAAAAGGAACGTTGCTATAAACATCCTGTTGATGTACCTTTTGAGGTCCCAGACCTCAAAAGAAACGTGGCTATAACATGCTATATAATATGCTATAATCGTGTCCAAAATGAGGACAAATCTAGAATCGTGAGAAATCGTGAGTTTTCGTGAGTAGGCCCTGTAAAAGGACCAAAAAGGAACGGTTAAGGCCCTAAAAGGTACAATATAGCGATCTAAAATCGTGAGAAAATCGTGAGAAATCGTGAGTGCATGCATCACATTTTGATTGGGGGTCATGGAAGCCAAACATCCATTGCTATAAAGCCTCGGCCGTAGAAACCATGACATTGCTACAAACCCTCGGCCGTAGAATCCAACAACATTGCTGTAAACCCTCGGCCGTAGAACCTCGGCATTGCTATGGTTTCTCGGCGATGATCCCTTTTTGTGGCACTTTTCCTAAGGACTCAAAAAGTACGGCCTTGGGACTTTTAGGGTTATGTATGTGTAAATATCTGGGGATTTCATGGTGATATAGCCAACAACACTGTTGTGATATAAGCTTGGTGGTTACTGTTTAAGTGGGATCAGTGTAGGTAGATACTAACCAACAGCAAAATGCGTGGTGTCCAAGATTGGCCATGACCTGTTTGTCCCTTGCTAAAAGTTGTTGTCTTCATAAAAATAATTTGTCTTTACCCATGTAATCCCAAAGAAACATCTAAGTGCATATGGCTACAATGCATTCAGTGGGCGTAGCTGCTGGAAATCAGAATTCCTAAGTCAGAATAACTGTTAAAACCACTGTAGAACCCTAAAGAGAAGGGACCTCCACACATGGGATGTATCCCCACAGGTGAAACTTTCCACATTGCACAGTTCCGGCCACCAAGCTTTACCCAAGAATGTGTTACCAAATTCGTAAAGAACAACTGCTAATATACTTATATAATACAACTTAATAATGTAATTGGATAATCTTAAACACCACCTTTTATAGGAATTAAACAACTCATGTTGTGTACTAGATTCCCCGCAACCCGGCTTTTAACCCGCTTTTAACCCACTTCCCAACATAAAAAGGGCAGCCCAGGCGCCAGCAAACACAGCTCCGAAGCTCCAGAGTCCTGTGCCCAGAAACCAAAAAACCAGCCGCTGTCAAAATGCCCATGATTTGAATGGCTTGGTTTCTGGTCATCACAATAGTACCCCCCCAATTGCTTGAAGATGTTGATAACTAATTCAGACTATGTTAGTGGTTAATAATGGTTAATATTGGTTAATAATAATGGTTACTTACCATCTGGTTATGACTTTCACAGTTTGCCATGGTATAGATGGCCTATTTATAGATGGTATACCCTATTTTTTTTAAAAAAAAGTGGATCTTTCCATGGCAAACTGTTAGTCATAACCAGATGGTATGTTAGATGGCAGCTTTGGAAAACCTCCATGTTTGTCAATCATTTTTTGTAGCTTAATGATCTATAATGAGCATTTACCAAAGTTGCCCTGGCCTACTGGAGGGTAACATGGAACAAATGCGGAAAATCTTGGCAAAATCCGGGTAAGTCAATTGATGTTCCACGTTTCACTCGGATGCCCGGGCAGAACGAATCGATGACTTCTGCAGGTCACTCCACGAACACCTGGAATGGTCAGAATCTGGTTGGTGGCATACTCCACTAACACATCCACTCGGTAACCCCATGAAAATCCCATGAAAATCCATGTTTGGTGGTAAAATGTCCCACGAACACCTGGAATGGTCAGAATCTGGTTGGTGGTTGAGCCCTACCCCTCTGAAAAATATGAGTTCGTCAGTTGGGATGATGAAATTCCCAATATGATGGGAAAGTCATAATCCATTCATGTTCCAAACCACCAAGCAGAATAGATGATATTCGGATCTTTACCTTCCAATGAATTCATTCCTGGGCTCACTGGTGACATGCAGGCTGGAGGGATTGACGGACAAATGACTCAGCAAGCCAGTGATTCTTGGCTCATGCCTGACCGACATTCGATGAAGGAAGTTCTCCAGGAGTGTCAGTGTGTTCTCAAGGTCGCCCACCGCCAACAACGTGCTTGCGTAGTGGGGTGGAGGGCCCATGCGGTGCATGATGTAGTACTGGTGCAGGAGGATCTCTGTCAAGTCTTCAGCTGTCAAGAACGGCTGACACGGTGCAATCTGGATCTGCGCTGTCCCTTGGGATCTTCAATGTGCCACGGCGGTGCCGCGGCCAAGGCTGCAAAAGATCGGTTTTGAAATGGAGAAGCCTAGGCTGCAAGTGCAAGATCCCATCATCTGATATGTTCAGCCGATGTGTTTTTAAAAACCAAACCTGTATAAATACAAAGGGGGCATACATGACTATATGTGCAAATAATAGATACACAGTACGCATAGAATGTGATTATCCCCTTGTGGTGCACCCAGGTGGGGTAGGACCCCTGAGAAATATAATGAAATCATCGGTACCCAGGCTACTGAACCCAAATTGCAAAAATGAAATCTGGGGGGTTCAACCCCACATGTTGCGCAAAGAGAAAATCATCAGTCATCCAACAGAGGGATTTGCAAAAATAAAAATGAGGTTCCAGAAATAAAATTAATAAGATTCCAAGTCAGCATCCACATGTTCCAGAAATAGAAAAAAAAGGTTCCAGGTCAGCATCTGTCTTTCTCAGTTTTCTCTCCCAATGCTGATGGCAGAGGACAGTTTGTTTTCCCTGTGTTGGTGGCATGTCAAGTTTGGTAACAGGGTGAACTTTCAAATTTTTCCGGTGGATAAAATCAGGAATGAATTTAAAGGGTTCCCAAGTTTGAGCCACGAAAAGGGAAGCCCAAAGATGGGGTAGAAGAACTTCATTTTGAGGTTTGTGATGCTGGGGCGATTGCCGGAGACGAGAAGCTGAAAGTTGGTGAAGCTGCCAATGCTGTTGGCAGAGGACAGTGTTGTTTTCCCTGTGTTGGTGGCATGCCAAGTTTGGTAACAGGGTGAACTTTCAAATCTTTCCGGTGGATAAAATCAGAAATGAATTCAAAGGGTTCCCAAGTTTGAGCCATGAAAAGGGAAACCCAAAGATGGGGTAGAAGAACTTCATTTTGAGGTTTGTGATGCTGGGGCCATTGCAGGAGACGAGAAGCTGAAAGTTGGTGAAGCTGCCAATGCTGTTGGCAAAGGACAGTACTGTTTTCCCTGTGTTGGTGGCATGTCAAGTTTGGTACTCTGATGTCAAAGTAGATGGCTCAGAATCTTGAGTTGCGCCATCTATGTCAAATGCAAAATGCGGGGGATAGATGGCTCAACTTCCATTCAAAACAGGTCAGTTGCGCCATGTATGTCCCTAAAAATGACATATTTTTTGCAACAGATGTTATTTTCATCATGTTTTGTCCAATAAATGCACAAGAGATGTGTGTTCCAACAAAACAAAAAGGTAAGCACAACGCAAAAATAAAACCAAAGGGACCCAACCTAAAGTTACTCCACCAGCTGCATTTTGGTGAGCACTTTTCATGACCCATGTCTGAAAAATGACATCATAGGGATCTGACTTACTCACAACTTATGATAGACACCTTTTGAAAAATAAATCTAAAAATAGTTCAGGTCCAAGCCCATTGATTTAATTTTTGAGCACACCATACAGGGATATGTGATTCACGCAGGAAAGTCAGCTGGAAACGATGAACAACTAGCTACCAGTATCTACCAGTCAAGCACAATGACAACATAGGGAAGCTGTGTAAAACAATGCAGGGGAGACACCTTCCGTGGGTCTCCTCGATTTGAGGTGGTTGAAGTTGAAGCCCAGGAACAATGGTGAGTTTTGTGCTGTCAAAGTGTACAATGACAGCACAAATTCTGTATGTTTGCGGTTGTGGACATGTATTGGCATGCGTTCAAGCATGTGCCAATGAATGCCCTCAAGTATCATCAAAGGTATGTGAAAGAAATTACCATACTGACCCCATAATACTTAATGGAAACGGCACCAAAAAATGGAATAGATCCAGCAGTAAACTCTGGTTTTGTTTGGGACGGTATTCAATATGACCCAGGAAGGGAAGCAGTTGTACGTTCATTCCACTTAGAAGTAATCAACAAAATGGGTTATAAATGGCTATAATGCATGCTTTTTCATTGTAATTCCAATCAAACATCAATCATCTGTTGTTGACCAACAAAGAGTTTATATACCTATATATACGTATATATTTATATACGTATATCTGTGTGTGTATGTACTATTCAATTTACATATACTGTATATGTATTCGAAACAAAACTAACAAAGCATTTTACAGCACCTTTAAATGAGCCTAAGCAACAAACATTGGGGGTTGACATGGATTGACATGGATTGACACATGGATTCAACCAGCTAAACATATGCCATTCCAGTATGCTCCAAGCACCAGCTCCTGGCGAATATCCAGGCACAACTCATGTGCGATGGAAATCAGTTGAGTCTCGGGACCTCGCGTCGAAAGATTCGAAAGTCGGACGTTTCACCAAGTTTCACCAAGGCCAACGAAGAAAAATGGGAGAAGTTCAACATTTAAAAACTGGTAATCCAAATGGTCAATCTTAGGATATCTGGGATTATCTGAACCATTCTGAACCCACGTTTCGCCCTCAAAGCTAGGATTATTTGTTGTTGCCTTGATTCTATCTTAGGTATTGCCTGAAGATGTGAGATTTGGCCTCAAGTAAGGATCCAAACATCTTCAGCAGCACTAATTAGTGGCTTTGGAAGCAACGAAAAAGGTGTGGCCGGACCGACGATAAAACATGGGTGAGGATTGACACCTTATTCGTTGCTGGTCTCAACCCCCCTGACAAATCTGGGTCATTGAAAACCATCGGGTAAGGCCAGCAATGACAGACAACAGGAAACCCACCAGGATCAACTCCTCTGCGGATCTTGGAACCCTCTGGTTATGTCAAAATGGCTATTGAAAAGTTGTCATTTATGGTTGATTTACCTAGAGGTTCCGTAGTTTTTTGTACATTTATGGTTGATTTACCTAGCAAAAATATGTCAACATGCTGACTTTTCCCTCGTTTTTTCAACGTTTTTTTTGGGGTCCCCATGGGTCCCCACCCCCGGCCACCCATCTCACCTTGCCGCAGGGAGAGGGCGGAGCCAATGCTGAGCTCCTGCAGCAGTTCTTCGGCACTTCCCGGCGGCCAGGTGGCAATGGGAAGCTCGAACTCCTGCTGGGCCAATAGTGGACATAGTGGTATATCACCATTGAAAGATTTATATCCACATCCTGATATCATAGATTTTTAGAAAATCCCCATTGTTCAATGGGAAAATGGCTGGGGATGGCCATGAAATCCATGGAAAATTGGAAAATCACCACTTTCAATGGATTTTCAAGAAATCATCAACTCAACATTGATGATTGTCCATTGCCATCGTAAATGGCCAGAGAGTAGTAAATCTCAGATGACATTTGAACAGCTCCAGTTGTTGGAGGAGACTTGTTTAATTTAAGATCATCTATGGTATATATTTGTGTTTATTGATTGACCGGAGGGGAAGCACGGCTTTTCAAAATCAAATTTGATAAAATTGTTCTTAACAAGAGAAAACAACGAGAAGTCATTTTGCTGCGCTTCTTTATCTTATCTCGACTCGGTAGCTATCTCGAGTAGAGTACAAATCATACATGTCTCCACACATTTCCTCCAGAAACATCAGGCTTTTGAGGGGTCAACCACCATGCTTTTGAGGGCCCAAGAGATGCTTTAACCCTCTTCAGTAAGCTTTCCGTAGCGTGGCCAATCTAAGAAACCCTGCAAAAATTGGATTTTTGCCGGACAGGCTGCGGTCAGGTCAACGTATCCCCATCGAAATGGCAAAAAGTCGGTTGATCCAGTTTGCACTGGATACTTTCAATAAAATATCCCATAGGATATCACCAGTTTATCACCAGTTTCAGTGGTGACTCTGGTGACCTCCTGATGATCAGTGAAATCCCCATATTGTATACGTCCCCATGTTAGTTTCAGTTTGTTGGCCCTTCATCCATGTTTCTAAAGGTGAAATCCCCGTGGAAATTGCTGCTCAAAGCACCCGGCCTGAAGGCACAGCAAGAGCTCTCTGAGGTCCTCAATGGATTGGTTTCGTTGGGGTTTTTGGCAGGAAGCCATGTTTCTTTAAACAACAAATACTGGTTGGTGGTTGACCTACCCCTCTGAAAAATATGAGTTAGTCAATGGGAAGGATGACATCCCATATAGAACATGGAAAATAAAATTCATGTTCCAAACCACCAGCCAGAATATATCTCATTAACCATTATTAACCACTATTAACCATCATTAACCACCATTGTGATAATGCTAGTAATAGTGAATAGCTGTAGGAGAACTCTGAGAACTCAACGGATTTAATGTTGCGAGATTTCGATTGGAGATGTTTACCATCAAAATGAGTTGTTATCACAAATGCTCAATGAACACCTACTACAACCTACTATAATATAATATAGTGGAAGATTCAATGGATTGGTGTTTGAACCAACGGCTTAACTTCCAAACTGATGGAACTCATACAATTATATTTGTTTTAAAAACAATAAGGTTCACTAGGTGTTGATCGATTGATTGCCATACATTTATATTTAATTGTAGAATTGTAGAGATGTTTTCCAGAAAACTACGTTTGCTTAAGAGTGAATATAGTTTGTTCCTTCGAGTGTTCACTTCATCCAGGGAAATACCATGTAAAAGCAGGTCAATATGTTGTAGGGATGTTTGTGTTGACAAGCAAATATTGAAGGACACAATTGGGAGTCAGTGCGGCAAATGTGGTGGATGGATATATTGTGGAAACATATTTTTTGGAAAAATGATAGAACATTCACGTGGGACGCCTGATTGTTGGTGAATAGTGGTAATTTCATGCGTTTTGTGAATGTCCAATGATCTTCGTTTTGAGGGTTTGACCTCTGTACTGCCTTTAGATATCCATCCCTCAGGTACACTTCCCAAAATCAACAGAGCACATACCATACAAGTCGGCTAGTTTGATGTTTCGACACATGGTGGAAATCGAAGAAAAACCGCACAAGACCACATCCCAACAGAAGGCAAAACATAGGGATCCCAAGACATGGCTATCCCTAGCATCCTTGTCCTCATTCACCAATGTTTGCGCAGAAATCTGCCAAAACAGGTGGCTCAAATGGGCCATGGGAATTACACGCTTCCTGGATGTTCCTGGTAAGTAGCTGGGATATATTTTTAAATCAATATATCAAATTATATCCCAAATACAATCCATATTCTAACTATAGTTCTATCACTAACTCCATGTCCCATCGAATGGACCCTGTGCCGAAGGTCCTTGAAATCTGCGGCCTGAGGTGCGGTTTGATAACCCTTTGGATGGGCCATGAGGGTAGCTCAAAGGTTTGTGACCCTTCTTGGTAAACCATAATGAACCCCGGTTGGGCATGTTCAGCTGTTAAGTTTTGGCTGAGGAAAGCAACCGCGAACGTCTATTTTTGGGCTGCTTAGATTGGAGAATGCCATCAGCAAGCCAATCTAAGAATGGATCATCGAAGGGTATATTGGGCTCAACCACCCTTGCCAACCAGCTGGCCCTCGATGTGGTTAGGGTGCACTATCCACTGGCCCAGGGTCACCCTGAGATTTCAGGTCGGGTAGCGTGAAGCATGATCATGATTTACCCAAAGCAACAATTGAACCAGGCTTTACTTCCAAATTGGGAATTTCACATTATCACACCAGGAAGATCTCTTCCTTCAGGTTGGGATCAAGGCTTGCCAATTTGGATTGAAAAGCCAACTGATTGGCCACTGAGAGTGCACTTGAATCCATGCGTTTGGAACTACGGAATTTCAAATTGCATCATTGATCAAACCATTAAGTGAGAGAGAACATATTCCCTAACTCTAATTATAAATTAATTCTATAACTATAGTTATAAATCTTTCACCATTATAATGGATAATTTTATAGCAAATGTTGGTGATCAGCATCGTGGGTCATATGCTCTTCCAGGGTTGTGACATTCTCATTCCAATCCATCGAAACCAACTTGGAGGTGCGGTTCCACTTATAAATGGATACACAACCATAGCTATAGGGGCTATATCCCAACTAATGGGCTTTATAACCATGGTAATAAGCCCAAATGTAACATCAACTGCACCCCCCAAGTGGGTTATATATATATATGTTCAAATTGTGTCCATTAAACCCCATTAACTTCCATTAAAACATGTTTTTCCATTCAAGTTTGGTAACCATTATACAGTATCCCATTGTGATTCCATCAATAATGTACCATTATTATCTTTGTTAAACCATACATACATGATTACATGACAAACACGTAACACAAACATATATTATATGGTTTAATAGTATGTTTTATCATCAATAATGAATAACAATAAAACCATAGATATATAATCCATATTAAACCATATCAAACCATGGATATTCCAATGGATTTGATGGGTAAACCATATAAAACTACGAATTCCTCCTGCAGACAACACCCAAAACACGCTGTCTCCAAGCGGCGCTCCAGCTGCGACACAGCGCATCTTGCGCCGGATGCGCCCAGCCCGGCAGGCGAAGCGACGCGGCCGGCTCCACGGCGCCTGGCGAAGCCGGTGGCTTGGATGAAACTAATGGATGGAGATTTTTACAAACAATGGTTAATAGTGGTTAATGATGGTTAATGATGGTTAATGATGGTTAATGATGGTTAATGATTGTTAATGATGGTTAATGATGGTTAATGATGGTTAATGATGGTTAATGATGGTTAATAATAATCACAGTTTAAACAACAAATACTGGTTGGTAGTTTGAAGCCCTCTGAAAAATATGATTTCGTCAATAGGAAGGATTATCCCACATATTATGGAAAATAAAGAATGTTTGAAACCACCAACCAGTTATAATCTCGTGTGTTTGATATTAAAAAAATCATTGGACAATGTTTCATATAATTAATGATTATTATTGTCATAATAGTTATAATTGTAGTTGTCATGTTTCATATAATATCAATGTCCTATAACCCTCTGGTAAACGTACAAAAAAAACTATGGAAAATCAGTTTGTTTGTTTTTTTTTTGGGGGGGGGGTAAATCAACTGTTTCTATGGCCATTTTCAATAGCTATGTTAGTTTACCAGAGGGTCACCTGATACAATGATAGGGATTTTATGGCACAATAGGGACTAATAGATGATATTGGGATATGATACGAGAATGATATAACCTGAAATATCGTGATATAATGGTGATAATGTTTTATGTATCATCATGTTTCATCTGATATCAATGTCCCATTATCCCATCATATCATCCCATTGTACCCTCTGGTAAACTAACATAGCTATGGAAAATCACTACTTTTAATGGGTAAACTCACTATAAATGGCCATTTTCAATAGCTTTTTGTATGTTTACCAGAGGGTAAACCTCCATTTTCCTATGGTTTTCCTATGGTTTTCATAGAATGTTAGCCATTACCAGAGGGTATTGTTGTTGGTTACAGCCCCGTTACCATAGCCCCGTTACGGGCGCCTCGGAAGGTGGGCAGCTGCAGCAGCATCTGCAGCAGCTGCGGAGCATTGGGATCTTCGCCCAGCACCGCGCGGTGCACGTCCTCGCGCAGCAAGTCCAGGTCCTGCGAAGGCGAGGTCCGCGAACCATTTCTGCCACGGAAGATCCATATGAATATATACTATGAATGTAATGAAAAATATAACTAGAAATATAAATACAAATATATATATATATATACATTTATTTATTTATTATGAATATATCTAGTCTATATACATATATATATATATGTATGTGTGTGTGTGTGCGTGAATCCATATTAATTATCCTCATCCACTGATGCTGCTATCTCTATATGATATGCATTTAAAGTATGCACATGTAATACAATCAACATTTCTAGCTTCATATTTGGGATGTTCTGATTCAGCCAACTAACTCCGAATAACTATGGATATTATCAATCAGCCAAGAACTAGGGACACTTAAAAGAACCGGTCTGGCTGAATTTCAATAACTCACTGACTAAAAAATAATAAACATAGTGCCATTGGGGGATCATTCCCCATATGTAAAACATCATTCCAGTGAAGTCACCGTGAGGTCATTCTGCTTCGTACAGAAATTATAGGATATCAAGTTCCACGAACATATCTACTAAACTCTAATAAACATCTATTTGAATCATGGATTTCAATTCCATGAATTTTCATTTAACATCATTGGAATGTTGCCATATAGAAACTATTCCCTTGAAATTTCCTTATTCCAACAAAACTATTTGACATTGGATATTTCATTGACAATTCAAACGCCTATTTCATCCATAAATCAATGGGTTGGTTTAAGGGAAAAATTATGGGAAACACCCATATTTCATCATATTTCATAGGAAAATCTATGGTTTCCTGTAGGTTTTCCCTTACGCCAACCCATTGAATTTCTACAAAACGTCGAACCGTTCGACAGGCCCAGCGAGCTGTAAACGGCGCCTGCACGGATTCTAAGCGGTCCAGTGCCCTGTGGATCAGGTGCCTGGGATCCAGAATTTCTTTAAGGACGCCGAAAACAAAATAGTGTTATATGATTTAAAAAGTTTTAAAAAAAATGGGACATTCTTATTTAGGTGGCTGCTATATTATCTATATTATCTGGTTGGTGGTTGACCTACCCCTCTGAAAAATATGAGTTCGTCAATGGGAAGGATTATCCCATACATTATGGAAAATAAAATTCATGTTCCAAACCACCAACCAGAAATAGTGTTATCTGATTCATATCATAATTAGGGGAAAATAAAAGGGAAAAATAATAGGATATCAATTTTTGAAGGACACCTCAACAGAATGACCCAAACTACCCTCCGATTTAGTGAAACATGTGGGATATTGGGATAATGGCTGCTTAATGGCAGTTTCAGATGGTTTTTATATGGTTAAAAAAAACGATTGGATAATAATATTGGATATTAATGTAATCATTATTATTTTTTAACCAATAAAAATATTATTATGAGGGTATATCATTATGTCATTAATGGCGTAAAAAATGTAAGA